TGTGGTCCGGAGTTTTGCAGATATCTCAGCATTTCATACGAGTTATATTTCACAACATACCCTGCCATTAAGAAGAAAAAGGCAGTAAATAAAAGAGTTAAGTATCAATTTCTTTGGAGTTTACAAGTAGCATATCAGCTTTCACATACTTCCGACTTGTGGAAGCGTATCAATACACCCTTCCAGGTCGTCTGCGTATGTACACTGAGTGTTGTATGTGTTCTTCGTAAGTATGGAAGCAAATGTGTGCTGTATGAAAACCTCGCGATTCCTGAAACGGAAAACGACTCACTATAATTCAATGACGAGGTTAATAGAAAGTCGATCCTAGGAACTAACATCTACATGTTTTTCCAACTATCTGCGTAGTGCACGTTCGAAAGCACTTCCTTGACCACTAAGAATATCTACCTATCTACGAATATAGTATTTGGTTATGGTAAAATCTTCTACAAAAGGCGGATAGCGCAGTGGTAGTGATGTCCGTTATCACGAACATGGTGCTAGTTCGATTCCGCTGCGGACCAACCAAGCCTTTCATTCCTCCTGGGTCGAGAAATTGATACCGGACTTGTCGAGGAAAAATGTCACTCTCTGCAATCCAATTAGGAACGCTCTAGCCCGGCTATCTCAGGACTCCAGGGAGAATAGTTCGACCAGCATTCTACGACATTCAAGATGAAATGAAAATTCTCAAGCAGCAGCCGAACCCACATGTAAAAGTTGGAAGATCTTCGTGAACAATGGATGCGAGGATAGTAATCGAATGTAAGAAGTGCTGGGATTCGCATGGTAGACGTGAAGACGGGTCATATAAAATGGAAAAAAAATGTTCTAAAAATCATAGAAGGTGGAGTTTTTTCTTGAAAACTTGTGGTTTTGCTGACCCAAAGCGTGACGACCACCTGCGTGATAAACACGCATAAATGGTTGGATATCGGCCCCAAGCGGATAATTTATAAGTTATTCATCCACATGGCCAATGTCGATGACACAGCTCGAAGTTCCCTGCACTCAATTTCTTCATGTGTGAACAAATACGTACTTTTCTTCTACACATATTTCTGCTCTTCCTATTCTACTGATTCCATATAATTTTGCATAGCGAAAATAATTATAAAAAAAGGAGGTGGTTAGAATCGTTAGAAAACCAGTATCGATTCAAGTGTTACCTCATTCCTCACAATCACTTTTTCTGATTGCTAGAATCTGAAGAAGCTATCATCTACCTCTGAGAAAACGTGTTAATTTTAAAAGGACATACGATATACTTTAGTGATTCTCAATAATCGCATCAGCCAAGTTATTATCAATAACCTAAAAGCCTTTTCGGCAGCGCCTTCTCACCTTTCCTTGCAGCCCAGAAGCGATCCACATGGCTCTCTGGATCTCAAAAACATCTCCTTAAACTTTTTCCCATAGTTATTGAAGATCACAACTGTGAGTTAGAGTTCCCATTAACGTGCGGATAATATCTATCAAAGAGCGATGCAATTCGAGCATGAAGAATAATGAAGGTTTTTCGACACGTCATTCCGCTCTACCACTGGTAGAATTCTTCCCTCTAATAAGGTTTAATTCCCACGGATTCTGATATGATAAGTAGTGATCAGATATATCGCTTTTTGCACAAAGACCTAATGGAACTAAAAAAGAAGGCCTTATAAAAAGACCTAAATCGACCTAATAGGTAGATGAGTTAAAGCATTTATTCATTTCCTTTTGGTGTTCATACCCTTCACATCAGCTAATGTTTCAGTTGGTGCTGACCTTGGAAGCTGATTTATTGCTGCACTAAGCATTTGTTATTCTTCACCTCTGTAACGGTTGGCCCAAATTATTTCCAAATCAAAGTGCTATGAACACCGATGAAAAGTTGCTTTTGCTTTCCTTTATGATTAACTTCACGGTGGTAAAAGTGACAAAGTCATAAAAATTTTGGCCAAAATCCAATAGAACGCAAGGTTATGAGTCGCTACTGTGTTGGCTACATTTATCTAAGATTTCGCAATCTTTCCAACTTGCTTGAATAGTCGAGAAACAAGGTATGAACCTCTTTGTTGTCACATCGTATCGCTAAAAACCATTCTCACTTGTTTTTTTTATGCCTTGTGATTCAATCAGCGTAGCTTCACCTTCTTTCGCGTTAAATGCCTTTTACAGTCAGTTTTGATGGCACCACTTTCAAAGATACACATATGCTTACATATATACGTATACGTTTATGGTTATAGACAAATATATATATATATATATATACGCAAAAATACTGAAACGTTTGTGTTGTAAAAAACAGGTAACGAAACTGAAAAACACCTAATATTTTCCAGGACGCATTATTGAGATTTTAGCAAGAGGAATTATTAAAAACTGTTTTCCAGCATTCTCCATGATGATCACAATCTCACTGGGTTCTCCTAATTAAAAGACGTTCAAAATGAATCGGAGCTAAGAAGAGTAGTAAATTAGCTAAGAAATTTTTTCACGATGGGAGTTGAAACTGTCCTACAATGGATATGGTTGGCTCGACCTTCTGCCAGTGGCTGACCATCCTCTCCATCAGTAAAGGAGAGGGGAGGAGGGGGTAGGGGGTGGAGGCAAATTGGTGCCACACTTAATATGGAGAATAAACAGCACTTAAAACATAAAGAATTGCTATGCCTGAGGTGAGTTGATGAACGCACTAAATTTGGATTCTCTCATCTCTATGGTGCTACGAATGGAACCAAATGCGTGGCTCCTCTCTTAGGAGTAGGTCTAGACTAAACTTAGATGAATATGCTGGACGAATAATTGCTGGAAATTCCTCATACTTAACCGGAAGGAAAACACCGGAAGTGCTCAGATTCATCGAGTGCCGTCAATTCACCGCCATGTTACTCGGAGTGCTCACTTTCGCACGTTTTAGTTATTATTACCTTCTACTTCTAGACTGAAAAACGATTTCTATTTTTCAAGTTGACCGGCGTTTCTGTCCGTTCTTAAAGCCGATAAACCTTCTGCTTTTCAACGGTCAACCTTTCAACTATCAGAAGCAAATTGATCTTTTATAAGATGAGCGTTCGCGAACCGCCAATGATTACTTCAGGCTTTACCAGTAAACATCCAGCCATCCACTCTTCTACCAAGGTAAAACTTGTGTAAGAATGGCCGACGTGCAGAAAGCTTTGCGTAAGTTATAAACGGTTAACAACTAAGCTTAAAATTCCACTAAGAATGAATAGAGCTATTTTGTCTACTCACTAATGTTTTCCTCAAAAAGTAAGGGGAAGCGTCAATCAATCCAGCCATGCTGTTTTTGAGTGCCAAGTAAAACTTTCTTCCATCGGATTTGAGATGACGCTTCGTATTTCTCACCATTATCAGGACTTATAACGAAACATTACCATACTTTACGTCTTCTACACTACAACGGGATCACGCAATTGCTATTTTAGCGCAAAAAATGAGAAGATTTCTTCTTACGTGTTTTTCCAAATGTTCTCTAGTTCGCCGATATATTAGACGTACTCATTTTGCAGCTAATAGTAGCGGAAACGGCTCCGATCCCACAGAAAATAAAACCGTAGATGACGACGAGGTCGTGGTAGATCTTGGCTCCAACTACGACGACGCCGGTAAAGTGGGTATAAATAATAGGAATATAATTCAAGCCTGTGCTATTTATGATTGCGTAATAATTTTCTGCGTGATTGAAGTGACACAAGGTCGTTATAAAAAATACTTGTTCCTCCAACGTTTCGGGACCTTTGCGTACCTCTGGGCCGCTTTAATCCGAGTCGGTGATTCACAACTGGCCGTTGTAACGACCTTGTTGTTCGTTATCGCATTGAGTAGAATCCAGTGGAGGGAGCACCCCTCGGGTGAAAGTTATTTATTGTAATGTTATACCTTTTTATTCTCTGCCTACTATAATTTCGCGGCAGGGTACTAAGCGAAATACAACCACAACGTTGCTGAGATATTTGCAAAACGCTGGACCGCAGGCGTCTATGGTGGGGAACGAACGCCCTTGTTGTCCTTTCCGGGGAGTAACGCGTTCATCACCACACCATGCGGGTCCTTTGTTTCGCCTGTCTNAGATCGATAGAAATAGCTGAGAGACAGGCGAAACAAAGGACCCGCATGGTGTGGTGGTGAACGCGTTACTCTCCGGAAAGGACAATAGCGCGTTCGTTCCCCACCATAGACACCTGCGGTCCAGCGTTTTGCAAATATCTCAGAAACGTTGTGGTTATTTATTGTAGTTGCACGACTTAATGAAACTCGGTCTTTGAGATATTATTGTGGAAGTTACTAGGTTAAGCGAAATAAAATCAGAAGATAGCTTAATGAAAACATTTTAGAATATTATTGAGAAGCTGACATTTCCAAGAAATTCATGCATTGTTGAAAAAAAATCTTGAGTGCGCTGGCATGTAAACGCAGTGCACAGTACTCTCCAAACCGCGTATTATTTATCCTCAACACAAATAATCAATACCTTTTAAGATTCTTCAGCTAACACGAGGCTGTTGTGAAATTTTCATTCCGCCAAGGTTTCGACGTCTTCGTCTTCTGCAGAGCCTACTGATCCGAGTCGATTGTTCACAAGCGTTCGTTCTACCGATGTGCTTCTTCGTAATCGCAAGAAACCTCGGGCGCGTCGTCTTGTAAACATAGTGTGCGCTGTACGTCAACTAGGCCAAAAGTTTGTGGTCAAACGACTGGGAAGTAATTCAAAAACCGACTTTCTATAAACCTTGGCATAAACGATTGATATACTTATTTATATGTTTATACGTTCTTGTGAACTTATCTTGTTGAGCTGATGCAAGATCGGTATAAGTTGTCGTTGTTGTTGTTGTTGTTGTTGACGTTCCAGCAAATTCACCTTCTTAAGAGCCTGGACCTATTTGCTTAATAATTCGGTAAAAAAAACCATAGCATTAATAAAGATCTAACATATAAATAGACGCTATATTGTTCAAGAACTACCCACCGTGCTGTGACGAGTGGGACTGCTTGCGTGTTGTTAACGTGGGACGGCGAGCGAGACTTGCACCTAAACTCATGCAATTCCCGTTTCCCCCGTTAGGACAGATCACATAGTTGTTCGTAGTCATTTGGATGTTAGAATAATAGGAAAACAACTCATGTTTCTCTCCATCAACCATTCTCTGAAAAGGAATATAGAAATCAATACCAAAAACTAAACCGAGAGCGGGTCAACGCAGCGAAGGCATTGGGTTTAGAGCCTTTCGTTATTGCACAACTAAAGAACGACCATCCAACGTGTGTTACCCTCTTATTAAGACCAATAAGCTCACTGCTATTAATGATATTGCGTCCACCGAACCTTTGCCATTTAAGGTTTGACCAATCAACAGTTTTATAGGCTGGCCGACATATAGAATAGCATCGTTCTTAAACCTCATGCTGACCCAATTGCTAAAATTCACACCAATCCATCTGGCCAATAACAAAATATTCCTAGGTCACCTGCAGTGCGCGCACTAAAACAGCACGCATGCAATGAAGTCACTCGATGTTATTTCATTTCATACATTTCATTGCATCGAATGACTTCACAATGCAAGCCATTCTCGAGACGCTCGTAGCGCATAATAATAAAATAGAAATGTACGCCTTGTTTATTGCTCAACTAATGACTTTCTTAAAGCAGTGTCTTAGTTGTTAAATCTTCAGGTGGTCTGAGAAATTTTGCCATCGCTTTCATGTCTAAAGTAGAAGTAGCAGTTCTCGATCGCCGACTCTTCACTACTGTATTGTCTGTTACTGTAGCGTCGATACATAGACGAATGCTCCATCGTCTGTTCCACAGAAGGACAGATAGATGAGTGCTTTGAATTGTTAAGTAGATAGTCAGTGTATATAAAATTCAATGGGAAAAACCAACCCAGAACTTGCTTCCATTCTTAAACATCCAACTAAAGCTTTCAGAAAGTGACTATATAACAAAATGGTATCGCAAGCCAAGTAGTAAAAACATTCTAGTTCACTGCCTCTCCTCTCATCCTTCACACATGAAAAAAGCACTTATAAAAAACATGTACCGTACGGGTAAAAATGTGTGTACAGGAGAAGAGGAAAGAAAGGAATCGCAAAACCTGGCACGAAAAATAGCCATTTCCAGTGGGTACGAAGCAGACACCACTTCGGTCAGGCAAAACCGTAGGGTTCCTACCCAAAACAATGTTTCTAACCTAAATAAGATCCCTTTTAAGCCAACCATCCTTCATATCAAACGAAATCAGTTACGTCATAAAGAGGTACCTAAGAAAAAGTGGTTTTGAAAACTATGTGGTGGTTATTAACCTCCCGCACAACACCCTACGTCGTCGATTAGTTCGGAACCGCCTCTATGATCGTTTGCGCAACTCAGAAAATTGTATGATCTGTCCTGACGGGAGAGACAGGGATTGCATCAGTTCAGGTGCAATGTATTTCATCTCATGTAAGTCATGCGGTGAGAAACATATTGTTGAAGCTGGTATACAAGATCACTTTGTGTCCGCCTGAAGAACACCTAGATGAGGAAGCTAAAATTTCGTCAAAGCACTCCGCTGGTACACATAGGAACAAAATCACAATGGTAATGATTCTGAAGTGACTGCTTGGATCCTAGCGAAGTCAAATCAAAAACATCGACGCGGAAGACTCTCGAGGCGTTTTGGATGAATTTCAAAAATCCAAAGATGAACCGGAAAGACAAATGCCTCACTATCACATGTGACCTAGCTCCTTATTTCAAAATGAGTTTTTGACCTGGGTGGGTTTTCGCTCGTCATCCCACGTGAACAGCACGCAGGCAGCCCCACTCGTCACAACATGGTCAGCAGTTTTTCATCATTATGGAGTCTATTTATTTATATGTTAGATCTTCATTAATACTATGGTCTTTTTTCACCGAATTATTAAGCTACTGTTGTATAAAATACTCCCAGGCTCTGAGGAAGTCGAAATCGCCGAAAAGTCAGCCATCGGCCAAGAACAACAACGGCAATAAGAACAACTACAACTTGCACTAACCTCTCATAGGTTCTATAAAACCAGTTCATAAAAACACATAAATAAATATATAGATTGAGAAGTACACGCCGACCGTCTAGGGTGGCCGTTAACAAGTAACTGCATTTCGAAGGAGTTTGAAACGCTACCTGAGCGCAACCACTTTTCAAAGCAGTGTGTGAGGTTAACTTTTTTGTTAAAATTACTGCAAAAAAGCCCTTGGAAGAAAAACTGCGCCATACGCATTCCTCGACCGAATACAAGTCACTGTGCGTCTCTGGCGGACGAGATAAACAAAAAGAATGTATTAGAACACTTACCTAAATCAGTTGATGATAAACTAGCTGAGAGAGAGGCGAAACGAAGTACCCGCATGGTGTGGTGGTGCACACGTTAGCTCCTGGAAAGGGTAATAGCGCGTTCGTTCCATACCATGAACACCCATGGTCCGAAGTTTTGCAAATATCTCAGCATAATTGTGGTTGCCTCGCAGATAATACCCTGCCATGAAAAATTGTAATAGACGGCTCACTGTGTATCTTCAGAGAACGATATAAACGAAAGGAATGCGTTAGAACACTTACCTAAATCAGTTGATGATAAACTGGATTCCAAGTGATTCATATAAAAAGTGATCTATTTGACATATTTCCTTCGAAGCATATTATTTGGAAATAGTCTTTCCTATTCATAGTGACTTTTCCAGCCCAAATTGTACCAAATATTTTAATGTATGCTACTCATTAGACGGTTGAGCATCCAATTGAAACGCATGTCGGAGAGGAAGACACACAAGAAGAAGGCGAAGAACAAACGCCTGAAGTGAATGGTGGTAATCACTCGAATGATCGAAGTGCGAACGAGGGAGGAGAAGCACTCGAGTCACCTGCTTCGCTCGACCAAATTGGCGAAGTGAGTTATGGAAACTAAGTGGAAATCCAGGTTTAAGTAAGTATTGACTTAGTGGAGATTTCTTTCAAACAACGTTCCAGAAAGTGATTTTGTTGTAAAAGCTCTAATAGTGGAAAAATAGATGACTTTTAAATAAGCTTTAATGAAGAACGTAATGACTTCTTTTTAAGCCTCCTTATACTGCCGGTGTTGAAAAAACCGCATACAGATTCGATATGATCGACGAGGAAACCAGTAGCTTAGCGCAACAAAGGCCAGATTTTCAGGTAGACGAAAAAATTCTATATATTGGGTTTACTGTTTATTATACTACTACAAAATCTGCGCAAGATTTTATATTTATATACTATACAAAAGGCTCTGGTTCATTTCCGCTCCGAACTCACTAAGCTTCTCATCTCTCCGGAGAAGGGAAATTCGCACTATCCTTCTCTAGGACGACTAGCTCACTCCTTCCAATCCATGTGGTACGCCTCAGCACAACCAATAGAGGAATCCAGGATGATATGACTTGAACAGCATTCATTGAATTTTACAATACAGACGGAAATCCACGAGCAGCGTTCGATGCTACACACAAGAAGTGCGGAGAGCTTGGAAGGTAATCGATGCGAGGAATCGGATCGAATGCAAGAAGTGCTACGTTCCGCACCATAGATGTGAAGACGGGTCGTAAATATTAAAGAAAATCGTCCACTTGAATATGCGTATATAACTATACATGCATATACGTTATATATTTACACTGCATGTGTACATGTATATTATATATATATATATATATATATATACATGTGGAAAAAAAGAGAGATGGAGGGCTTAGCACACTGGTTAAAAGTTCCATGCAATACGCGTTAGCGTTACATACAGCGCATTTGGTTCGACACCAAGCTGCGGACGAACTAAGTCCTTCGAACCTCTTTAGATCATTAAACTGGTACGTCCATAGCGCAGTGGTCGCAGGTGCCCTGCAACACACACGTGGAATCGTTCCCCGCGCCCATGGTCCATCAAGCCTTCCATCCTTCCGGGATCGGCAAATTAGTACCAGACTTGTCTGGGAGGAGAGCAGCACCGACTCGATACATCGGTAGAGCACTGGGAGTCATGTAGATGCCAGATGTGCATTCAATCACCTCCAACGATACGTGATGAAGTCGAATGCATGGCGCATCACTCAGGGATTCATCAACGCCGAGAGCTTTATTTAGAGAGTTTTATCACACTAGCACTCGTTATAGCTAGCGTTTCGACGTGTTCGTCTTCATCAGAGTCGGATTAATCGAGTCGATGATCCACAACTGGACCTTCTCGCCATATGGTTATTGCTGTCGCACTGAGTTGAATCCAGTGAAGTGGAGCACCGGTCGAACAAATAAGTCCTTTCGCGATTAAGAGGTAAGAGTCTGCCTGTGAATACAAAAACGCGGATTTGAAACGCTAAAACACTGAAAGTGATTGTACAAATCTAACATGCGCCATAAACACTTGCGATGCTCTGGAGACGGATGCACGACGCATCCCATACAATATGATTACCCTCGGACGTTCCTTTTATCCTTTTTTAATTTTCCATTTGATTCCTTTTCTCTCGTCCATTGTCAACGAAAGTTTTCTGATTTTCAGTGTGAGTTCGGTTGATGATTGAGGATCTCTGGTCTTCTTCATAAATGTCGTTGAATGTCGAGGTGAATTCTTCTCGTACATAAGATAACCGTTATAGGGTGGTCGACGGCCTTTACTACGGCAACTGCCAGCTTTTGTGGCTCTTGCGGACGACAGGGAGCTCTTACCAGACAACGCTATCTCTAGCCGTAACGTGGGATGCAATAGGGTGGCGTGCAAAGCATAAAATTCTAATAAATTCTTAACAGTGGCTCATATTATTCAGGCGGAAACCGATAATTTTTTTTATCTCATAAATATTGATCCACTCCTGCAGCACACTTTCTTGAACAAGTATTCGTTCGCGTTGCTTAGAATCTGCTCCGATATGTGGACGATAAATAAAAGCGTTCTGCTTCGATCTATCCCTGAAGGATGTGCAGTACATGCGACTTCATCAAAGCATCTTGGATGTGACTGAATGCATATCCGGCCTATACAAAGAGTTAAGGTGGCTTACCGAAGTTTCAAATCAGTGCTAAATTTCTCCCAGACAAGTCTGGTATCAATTTGCTGACCACGGAAGAATAGAACGTTTGATGAACTCGAGGCACAAAATCGAAGGAAAGGCTCGTCTGTATTGCAGGACACCTTTAAAAACTGCACTGTCGACCATTAATCATTCGTAAAAATCCACCAGTTCTTTGCGCCAAAGTGAGATCGGAACGACATTACATTCACTCTCATCAGAAAAGCGGCAGTATCACGGCAATGGTCACTCACTCACTCACTCACTCACTCACTGCTGACCTCATCATCACTTTATTCCGCCTTCTACCTTGCTTTTGTGCTTCGACGATAAACGCGGCATGTCCCACATTGCTTTCCAGATTTCCAGCTTTTACAGTGTCTCTTTCATTGAAGAGTCGATACATACTCAGCTCTGCTCGATATTCTGAAATGTACCCTTGGAGAGATGCAGCAAATTGCCTTTGATGTACCAAGCTGTCAACTTCTCGAGTCCTATAATCACAGAAAAATGACAACAGTTTGTAAAAGATCGACAGTGGCCATTGTGTGAGCCATGCAAAGCAAAACTTTTGTCGGTTGTTGACTATATCTTCATTCCCGCCTTATATTTATAGTATTGATTGAGAGTGCTTAGAATGAGAGACTGACCATATGTTGCAAAAACACTTCCAAATACAAGCAGCAATGCTGGTGGCATCGAGAGATAGCAAACTTGGATACTTCGATGTTTGGATGGCCTGTCCTCAATGCTTGCGTGGGCCCTAGCATAATTTCCATTTTTTGTGGTTTCGCTGCTTTGGCTAGCCATTGTGGTTCCGTGGAGTCCAGAAGTTGGCGTCGCCAAAGTCCGTCCCAAGTCGTCACCAGTCACCGCACTTGTGGATCAGCGAGAGATGCGACTAGTTTCATACCACGACGGTGGTGGATCCTGGTACTGGTTTACTCTTGGATGTGCTTCGTGATGGAAACGGCGGATTCTTTCTCGACTTGGGAGACCCTGCCAGGGGATGAATGCCCCGCTGTAGATCGTAGCCCAACAGCCAGAAACAGAAACACCGGCCATGACGAGGCTGTAAGCCGTTGGGAGGATATAGAGAGCAAACCAGCTGAAACGGGTGAATCGGGTGAAGGTGAAACGAATGATTCGCATGGTGTGATGGTGAACGCAGTAGACCCCGGAAAGGGTAATAGCGTGTTCGATCTCCACCGCAGACACCTGCGCTCTGAGGTTTTGCAAATATTTCAGCACCATTATGGCTGTATTTCACATAATACCCTGCCGTGAAAAACTGTAGTAGGCAGTAAATAGAAAGGTTAATACAGGCAACAATAATTTTGCATCGCGGACCATAGCAAAATGTAGTAATTTTGTGTTTTTACTATTTTATTTTATGCGACCCGTCATCATCTCTACTATGCGGATTCCAGCACTTGCATTTGACTTGTTTTCCTCACATTTATCGTACACAAAGGGTCTTCGAAAATTTCGCATTTCACCTCGCCTACTGCTTGAGGATTTCAATTTGTTCGTGAGCGTCAGGGAAGGTTGGTGAAGTCAGTTGTCTTTGCAATCTTGGGGATAGAAGAGCCAGGTCGAACCAGAAGTTGTTTCCTGACAAACTGCACCAGTAACCACTACGCTATTGAAAAGTTATCATGCTGTCGAAAAATCGTTATTGTTCGTTATTTGCGGTGTTTCAATCGTGGCGTACAGAGCGGCATCTTTGGTTTTTGATCGTTCACGCAGGTCGGAGTTTCGGATCCCTTCCCTTACTTGTGTGAAGCGGGATGCTCCTAGCATCGTCCTTTCGACTGCGCGTTCAATAAAGCTGAGTGATTTTTCATCCTATTTACGCAGCAACTAGGTTTTTGATGCATACGTTAGGGCAGGAACTACCATTGAGTCGAAAAGGTGGGCACGGAGTCGGGTGTTCTTTGTCCTCTTCACCATATTCTTGATGCTCTTGAAAGTTCCCCAAGCCGCTCGTTCCCTTCTGCTCAGCCATGGAGCTAAGTCGTTCATCATATTGATTTCCCGACCTAGATTGACATAACTGGAGCATTCCCAGATATTCGTTCCGTTAAGCGAGAATGGGGCATACGAAACCAATCCGTTTTTCATGAACACCGTTTTTGTGAGATTTAGCCGAAGAGCAATCCTTCCGCAGGCTTTATCAAAGTCGGCAAGCATACGTTCCTCTTGGCCAATGTATGGTGTTATAAGGACGATGTCGTCAGCAAAGCGATGTTGTAACCGCCGACCATTGATTTTCATTCCCATATTATCCCATTATCCCATAACCCGAGCATCATATCTTTCTTCTAAGCTCTTTGTGAAGAACTCTGACCATTGGATCGGTGGTCTTGCTGCAGTACGTTTGAAATCCTGAGGAATCCAGCCACTAACGGCTCTTGTCCATCGGTTGTCATTCATTCGCATTACGTGTCGGGCCCATCTTATCTTCGACTGTTTGGCGTACAGAACGGCGTCTTTGATTTTTTATCGTTGACGTAGGCCGGAACTTCGGATTCCATCCCTTACTTGGGTGGAACGAGTTACTCTTAGCATCCACCACATCGAGCACTGAGCGTTCGATAACGCTGAATGTTCTCTCATTCTGCTCACGCAGTAACCAGGTTTCTTATGCATACATTAAGGAAGGAAGTACCGTTGAGTTGAAGAGAACGGCACGGTGTCGGGTGTTCCTTGTTCTCTTCTCTACATCCTCGATGCTCTTGAAAGCTCCCCAGTCCGCTGGTATTCTTCTGCTAAGCTCTGGAGCTAGGTCGTTCATCATATTGATTACTCGACCTAGATAGATATAACTGGAGCATTCGCAGATATTCGTTCCATTGAGCGTGAATGGGGCATGCGAAAGCAATCCGTTCTTCAGGAACATCGTTTTTGTGAGATTTAGTCGAAGACCAATTTTTCCACAGGATTTATCAAAGTCGTCAAGCATACGTTCCGCTTGTCTAGTGTTTGGTGTTGTTGTAAGGACGATGTCATCAACAAAGCGAAGATGGTGTAACTGCAAACCGTCGATTTTCACTCCCATATTATCCCATTCCAATGGTCGCATGACGTTCTTGAGGGTGGCGGTAAATAATTTTGTCGAGATGGTATCGCCTTGCCTAACTCCTCTTTTGACGTCAATGCTAATGTCGGTGTAGAATGGTGATATCTTGGTTGTGAAATTTGTGTACAGCTCACAAAGAATCTTTATGTACTGACTAGGGAATCCTTGACTATCAAGGGCTTCCCAGACTGCTTCCATCTCAACTGAATCAAAGGCCTTCTGCAAATCGATGAAAGTGAGAGTGAGCGGTCTTTTGTAGTCTCGCGATACTTCAAGGAGCTTTGTTATCGTGTGGATGTGGTCCATTCAGACCTCGCTTTCAGACAGGTAACGTGTGAAGAGCAGAGAAAGTGTGTTTACGAAGACTGGCGGAAGATTCTTCAGGTGTTCTGGTCTTATCCTGTCCCGACCTAGTGCTGTTCGATTTTTTACCGACGAAATGGCATGTCGGATTTCGGAAGGGAGAATCGGTGGTACAACATATCCATCCTCATTTAGTTCATATGACGGAAGGTGGACGTAGCTATCGAAGAGATCTGAGTAGTATTCGTGAATGATTTTCTCCACTGCCTTTTTCGACGATGTAACTGTTCCGTCTGGACGTCGGAGTGCAATCATCTTGGTCCTGTAATTGGCGAAGCTTCGGTGGGCTATGCGAATGCTTTCCCAGCCTCTGTAGCTTCGATCATTACTGCTACTCTTCTCTCTAAGATCTTCTTTTATCGCCTGTCTGCATTGCTTTGCAAGTTCGGACGTTCGTTCGCAGTTGCCTTCAGCTCGTGCAATACCACGCTGGCGTATCAGCTTGAGTGTTTCTGGATACAGGCGTCTCTTGGTAACTTTCGAACTCTCAGCTTTCATAGCGCTAACGTGAAGGTGTTGAGTGAGCCGATCGTATTCTTCGTAGATGTTGTCGACAACGGCATCTTCCTAACAGTCAACTAATGAATTGAATAAGTCCCAATTTACTGTGGTTCTCGGACCTGGGAACCCGTGTTGACGAGAACGACGACGCCGCCGATTCCTCTACTGTCGCATGTTCCGAGGAGCAGTTCTTTACCGGTGTCATAGACGGCGTTGAATGGGTGGTGTCGTCTCGTCTCAGCCAGGCCGATGACGTCGTACCTTATCCCTCTTGCTTGCATGAGCAAGTCTTTTATCGAGGACTCGGATGCAAGTGTGTGTGCATTGTAGGTACAAATCGTCATCATAGTTTTTTGAAATCCTGGCAGTTTCCACTGGCCCTGAGCTTTTAGCAGCTTCTCCGCACTTGTCCTACCCAACGCTGCAAAATTGTGGGCTCTTTCGGGGTCAGGGGAATGAGGCCCGTTTTTTTTATTGCGTTTAGCATTTTAATACGCACGTATAGCTTGCTGGACTCTGAACGTGGGAGTTGGGTGTACTCACGGGTAGCTTGCCAGCTCTGCCGGAGTGTACATGGAGCTCATTTGTTGGAGGCGACTCCTAGCAGCTTCCCATATGCTTCCCAGTCACTTGATTACAGGCTTCGGTCGAACTGACTCGTAGAATACAATCCGCATAAGCAAGAACGCACCCACATACGCGTGCATGAATACGCCTAGCAAATACAGACAGTATTTGCCAAATCAGCGCAGCAGAAGCAGGGAATCCATTCCCTGGATCCACCTACGTCTCATGGAAGCAAAGGTCGCTTTTGGTCCGCGATTAACTCCTATCCGCCACCTGGGGGCGCGCCACGTAGCCTCACGACTAGGCGGATCGAAGATCCTTCATATGAGGGAGATCCGTAATTGTTTCTCAGTAACCCTCAAATTCATAATTTTCGATAGACCGAGCGTATTCCTTATTTATGTCGTCGATAACGGCAACTTCGCAAAATGCGAATGCAAAAAGTGGCCTAGTTTGTCCTACAGTGGAGATTGTTCCCATAAAAGTGATGCTTTCTCTCCTTTCTGCAGAAAAAAACTCAGGAACATAAAGCGATAATCTCATCTCATTTTCAGCATTGTACTAACAGAGAAATTGGTCAACCGAACCTTTGATTTACTGCTATTTAATTTATTTCATCGGCCTATTCCGCACTGGCAGACTTCCACATCGCTGGAATGTGAGCTTGAAGAAATGTAGGTTTTCGCAAATCAAGGAAGGTCTTAGTCGTCGCGATATCACCGGACATCTTTTCATTCCGTTTTTTTCTCACTCCAGCCACGTTTTCAAGTGTGAAGTGGCACAGTTATTCTCCTGATGCCAGTTTTCGCGTTGAAAGCGCTATTGGTGACTTATAAAAGGTGCGGCGATGTCTATTCTGGGAATCCTTTAGGACCAGGCAGACTTCATTAATCTCTCTTCATCATAGCTTACCGTTCAAAAATAATGGCAGTTCTGAATATTTAGGCAGCACATCTCAATTCCTAGTGAAGTTTTACCACTGTTATACAATGGAGATCTTCTAAAACATATTTCTTTCTCCTTTGTTTGTCAAAATTCACATGTCGAACAAGAAAGCAGGTCCTTATAGGAACGGAAATGATGGCTCCACTGCTTGTCATTAAATTTTGCGACTGCTGAGTTTGACTTGGGAACTCGAAAAATTTCAATTTCGTTTCGAATCTACCGTATGTTCCGTAAATTCTAAATAAAAACAGTTTTGGAAATGAAAGGGTAGTTTAAAGAAATTATATACTCAGATGTAACAAAACTTCCTCCATAGGTCTATGATGTCTTTCACTCCTCTACTAGCTTAGCCATCGAAAAATATGGGTAGTTGTTAAAAAAAGGACAAGATGGTCCGCTATGTGATAAGGAGCAATGTCTGCCAGGGGTGCCATGACATCGTATCAACTGTCTGAACTGGCAGTTCAACTGACCTAACTACCGCTGATTGTAGAGTGACCCGAGCGGGCTAAAGTAAGCCTTCCATCTGTGTATTTCAGGTGCAAGAGTAAATTTTGCTTGCTCTAGAGAGTAGTAGAATCATCTCTCTCCTCTAGGATTTTGTGAGGAGCTCTGGTCATCAGGTCGGTGGTCTTCATTCAAAACGTTTGGCATACCGAGAAATCTAGTCTCTACCGACTCTTCATATTTAAACGCACCCTTGTAAGGTCCACCTGATCATCGACATTTTGACGTGCACAAAAACGTCTCTGATTCTGATCTCTGACATAGGTCGGAACTTCGTATTCCCTCTCCCAAATGCGTGATTCCGTATGCTGCCTATATGATCCCTTGTCTAATGTTTAATGTTATAAGAGCGATGTTATCAGTAAAGCAGAGATGGTGTAATTTCCCATCAACGAATTTTGCTCTATGTTCTCCTATTCCAACTTTCGCATGACATTTTCAATTGTGACGGGAAACAGTTTTGGTGAGATAGTATAGTCTTTCCTAACTCCCCTTCTTACGTCGATGTACAGTGGCAATATTTTAGTCGTAAAAATTTTATGTACCTCAAAAAGAATCCTTATACACTGAGTAGGGAAGCTCTGGCTGTCTATGGCCTCCATGATTGCTTCTGTCTGAACTGAGTCGAAAGCGAAATACAACCACAACGTTGCTGAGATATTTGCAAAACTGTGGACCGCAGGTGTCTATGGTGGGGAACGAACGCGCTATTGTCCTCTCCGGGGAGTAACGCGTTCACCACCACACCATGCGGGTCCTTCGTTTCGCCTGTCTCTCAGCTATTTCTATCGATCTTTTTGCCACAGCAATCACCCGTCAGCGGGGTTGAACAAAACGTTAAACATTGAGTCGAAAGCTTTCTTTAAATCGATGAAGGCAGAACTGAGCGGTCTCTTGTAAATTTCCCACATTTCAATGAGTCTTGATATCATGTGTATGTGATCCATCGTACTGAACCCTTTTCGAAACCCTGCTTACTTACATGGCTGTCCTTTATCCAGTGTTCTGTTATCTTGTTTAGGATGAAGACTCTAGTAGAAAGTCTGCAGACGATAGACAGTAAGCAAATTAGGCGATGGTTGCCTGATAAAGTGGAGGTCACCACTGTTCAACAACATCACATTCTTGGTGGTCTTTTCCTGCTTAAAAACCCTTCATTCAGACAGGTAACGTGTGAAGAGCCCACCTGGTTTGTTAAGGATTGACGAACGGTTCTTCAGGTGTTAAGATTATATCGTCCCCAAAACTAGTGTTCTTAAACTCTTCATCGATAAAACAGTATGTTAGATTTGGAAAAGGAGAACTGGTGGAACCGCATATCTACCCTCATTTATTTCATGTGAATGCAAGGAGACGTGTCTTTTGAAAAGATCCTAGTGGTAACCGTGAATGGTTTTCCCTATCGTCTTTCTGGAAGCTGTAATTGTTCCGACTGGCCGTTGAAGTTCAATCATCTTGCTTTTGTAATTGGCGATGCTTCGGTTGGCTTTGTGAATGCTTTTCCAAGCCTCTGCTCCCTCGATCATAACTGCTGTTCTTGTCTTTTCAAGATTTTTTTTATTGCCTGTCCGCATTGTTTTGCAAGTTTGGACGTTAGTTCGCGGTTGCTTACAGCTCATGTGATTCCATCGGCGTATCGGCTGGAATGCTTCTAGAGAGACATCTCTTGGTAATTGTCGAACTCTCAGCTTTCAAAGGGCTAACGTGAACACGATAAATAAGCCGATCGTAGTCTCCGTCGATGTTATCGATAATGGCATCCTCCCAACAGTCGACTAGTTAAGTGAATAAATCCTACTTAGTTTTCGGTTGTTTTGGGATCTTGTTTTTCTAATTTAGCGGCTTTTCTTCTTACCGCAAAAAAAATGAAGCCTTTCACGAAGGAGGCGATGAGCTGATCCCGTGTAGAGTTCTGGGATAACAGTGGAATCGTTTAAGCAGAACCTTCGATTTACTATGGTGTGGCCTATTTAGTAATGGTACTCTCCATTGGGAGACTCCCGCGCCCAGCGTTGAGAGTGGGGCGTCTGAAATTCTGAGTAACCTGAATGGTCTTTTACTCATCATGATAAACTCAGACAGCCGCTCACCCTGTTCGTTCCATTCTAATCCATGGCTCCCAATGTCGCGTTCTTCAGATGTTCTTTTGGAGCGCAATCTTAGCGTTAAAATCTCCAGTGATGTAACCTTGAAAAATGTATGATCTCCTCTGTAAGACCTCTAGCCCCACATAGAACAATTCGACTTCGTCCTCTGTCATTGGTTGGTGTATGTGAGCAGATAATAGAGACTGTTAAAGTTTCTATTGACCCATATCTGTTCAACCATAACGTACGACTCTGACTGTTAATTGTACGAATAAAACGATTCTCATGGCCAAACTCGTGTTGATGAGAGCGCCGACCTCCAACTTCTCTACTGCCGCATGTTCTGAAGAGCAACCCTTCCCCGTGTAATAGATAGGATTGAATGAATGGCATCTTCCAGTCTGAGCCGGTTGGATTACATCATACTTCATCTTTCTTGCCTGCATGATCTTCTATCGAAGATTCAAATACAAGCGTGCTTGCACTGCTTGTAGGTACAGATGCTCACCTAAATCCTTTGCGATTTAGGCAGTCTAGAATGGGCCCTAAGATTTTAACAATCTCTCCGTACTAGTCTTACTGAAAGCTATCGTATCTGCGGCTTTTTCGCTGTTAAAGGATGAGGCCCACTTATCTTCTTGTGTTTAGCATTTGATGTCCACGTAGAGCTTGCTGAGCTGTGAACGTGGTGGCTAGGTAGAGTTACGAGTTACTTGTCAGTCTCAGAGTAGACCGGGAAGCTTATTTGTTGGTCGCAACTCCTAACCGTTTCCCATATACGTTCCTGTTATTTGATTGCAGACTTTTAGCCGAATTGACTAGCAGAATACAACCCGCATAAACGAGAGCACATCCACCGACGCATTTATGGATAGCAGTACGAAAGCTATGTGCCAAATTAGCGCAGCAGAAACAATGAGTCCATCTGATGAATTCACCTGCGTCTCAGGGAAGCAAAGACCGCCTTTGCCTCGCCACTGACCTCCTATGCACACTCCTGCGGACACGCCACGTTGCCTAGCGACTGACTGGCGTGAGATCTCTCTGTGAGGTAAATCTATGGTGATGGCATCGTACCTAACTTTACTATTTTCCGCTATCGGATCCTCATTCGAAGGTACCAGTACTAGCATAAATGCGCTTTAACTGAAGAACATCACCATAATCCATCTAGGATATCCATCACCTAATTATCACGGAACATCAACAGCTTCTTCGCAATCTTCTAAGCAAATCAGCAGTGTCGAAGAACTTGTTCGGTATCAGGAAAATGACGCACTGCTAATGCTCGTACAAAATACGCACCTATGGTTTGGAAGTTTTTTCCAAAGCAGACATGGGGCCCAATTTTTGGTTGCGACTTCCATCGATCTACCCCAGAGAGAGAGAAAGACAGAGACAGACAGAATGACAGAGAGAAGAGAGGGAGAGAAAGAGAGAGACAGAGGGAAAGAGAGAGATGTCTTGCTGGTGGAGTGTTGATTTAGGACGGTATTATTTCAGATTGTGAAGTTAATATCCAGCAAATTTCCGATTTCCTGGTCGCACATAATGATCAGAAAAGTTATCAAAGAGCGTTGATTTTACATCATTTGCACTCGGCAAAAAATGATTAAAGCAACAAAAAATAAACAAAAACAAGCAGGTGAAAGTAGAAAAAATTCGAAATGTAAGAAAATTGATTTGTGACAACGCTCGTATCCATTACTTTCTAATGTTAAGTTAGTCGACGCGGGAAGAAAAGTCACGAAAAAAAAGAGGGCTGAGAAGCCGGATGAAAGCGGTAGACATGAACGAAAGTCAAAGGACAAAGATGGACGATCAGAACAAGGACCATTGACGACTACAGAGGTAATAAAAATAAATCAAATTTCCATCTAGATATTCTCTTTTTTTAACACCAGCTAGCTAAACGCATGCGCTACCCATTAGTGATCTCTCTGTTATAGTCTCAGATTGTTCAATCCACCAGGTCCGATTTCGTGGAATATTCAAAGCCAGAGTGAAGAGTGCACATCAACGATGAAGCGAGTGTAAGCTTAAATGCTGGTCAAATCAGGATATTCCATCTGTGGCTAACAGCAATTCGTTCTACTCTCACTTCACTTCTTGCTTCATCTAAGAAGTCTAATTTATTCCAAAACCCTTCGATACCACATTCATTAGGATCACAATCTTGGATAATATACATCCAAAGAGAATAAACTTTTACAACCACGATGGATAAACAATAAATTTACGATTTCACGAGGAGAAACGGCTAACACTACTGCTTGGCGAAAGCAACTTCATGCGCGCTTTTTGCTTTGTTTTCAAATAGAGACTTCATCATCCAAAACATCGACTAGTCGCATATGAAGGGTGGGGATAGCGTTTGAATGCTGTCCAATGTCCGTTTCTGTGTTTCAAACACACTTCTCCTGCAAGACCTTTCCAGTCTTTTTTCTTTACATATCGATGACCACTTAACTTCTAATTGACCTCAATATCTTCTAGGCCATGTTTAAAGCTCGATGCAAGTGCGAGGACATTCGTAACGACCCGAAGTTGAAGACAAAGGTCTGCACGCTTCTATGAGGTGGCATCAGTTTTTGGTTACCTCATAATGACCGGCGTTTTAATGTACAAACAACCAATTGTATTATTTCTCTTGGAGACATTAACATACCTGCGCACCATTGTCCAAAACAGAACATCGTCAATGTAGGCTTGTGTTCCGTGTGAATCACTTTCTCCATTTATGTTCTTTGGCATGTACATTACGACCACGGTGTTATTTCTGTGAATGCTTAAAGGAAAAAAAAGTTCCAGCGTTGGACTAAGTGCTACAGTTCAACCGAATAAGAGTTCCGAATGCTGTGCCTGCTAGAGATTAAACAGTGCAGCCATTCAGCGAATTCGATTGCGCTGGTGTAGGTGGCTCAAGTCTGCACCTCTAATTTCTGCACAGCAGAAGCTATATGCTTATTTTTTGATTAAAAAAACAAATACGGGAGCAGTGCAGACTTCCCATTTCAAATTGCTACCACGGAAAATATGCAAGTCACCTTCAACACATTTTCAACAATACGCATTGATTTCAATGCATTCTCCCCTATAACGGTTACTTCTGCCCCACAGATTTGCTATAATTTGAGAAGTTTCCTTTCTTTGTATCCATGAGTCTAACAACAAATCCCTTCCACTGCGGTACAAATTGCCGAAAAAGCAACGCAGAAACTATTTTTGAGTAGAAAGCGCAATGCTTTATTGTACATATACAATTGGGTATGTTACACGGTGACTCTTAATTTATTTTATGGATAGAGTAACATACGAGATTCTTCTTCATGAGGAGAATAATAAGATCCCTCTGCTTCAGAGATACTTCAGAACCTACGCATCGAGTTCAATACATAGGATTGTGAGGAAGGAGATCTAGGAGGGGACGAGGTCATCGCTCAAAACCCCCTTTTGAACCGAAAAAATCGAAATTAAAACGGGCGCGACGAAGTGGGGCAGCGTCAGAAGGGACCGGACAGGGCGGGACGTGGTACCAGGGGTAGTCACCATGGAAAAGTTGGCAGAAATGACGGAAATATTCTCATGGGTGGCCCTGGGTGGCCCAGGGAACTACAGTATTCCCACGAGTGGCCTGAAGACCGGAAATGCCCCAAAAAACAGCGGATACGGCAACAAGTGTTGGGCATTGTCACATACCTTAGTCAACGAACACTAGACTGTGGAGCAAATGTGTTACTGGAAAGTTTTCCATTAACATCCTCGTAAGTTTTAGAAATAAAAATGCCTATCGTACATGGACAACTCGACAAAGCCACAAACTTTTGGACAAAAATAAAAAAGAAACTCACGGACAAATATCGTTATGGTTGTACTACAGTACCAAACTAGGCGAATACCTGAATGTCGACGTGATCTTTTACACAAAGGATCCAACGAACTGATGAAGAAATCCGCATTACATTCAGAGAGCCAGGCGAATTATCTGTCAGTTGATCAGTTAAGAAAGAACCTAAGACTTATCCAGCCAGGAAGCAAAAGAGAAAATAACGCACCGTGAATTTCTTGGATTGTTGAGTAACTCGTAAAATCATTCATTATATATTTATTAGCAAACCATAGATATACTGGAAAAAATTAACGATCGATTCCTACTACATTCAAATTAATCGAAAATGTCCAAATTTTGATAGCAGTTAGTATGAATTAACTAGCTTCATCTGGAGTTCTCGATAGGTGATCTGAAGAACGTCGGCAATTTCAACGCAAAGCTCCTTCCCAGCACTACCTTTGTTGTACTTAAACAGCACACACAAATTCTAATGAAAAAAAAGAGAAATATTTCGCAATATACCTTGCCATTAAAAATAGTGGACAATAAATAAAACGGTTGACTGTGATTATAAATAACTATAGCCTCAGCTTAACCGGTCTCAATGCCGATGTGGGCTCTCCAGATCAATCCCGCTGACGGGTGATTGCTGACGGCACAGATCGATAGAACTGGCTGAGAGACAGGCGAAGCGAAGGACCCACGTGGTGTGGTGGTGAACGCGTTACTCTCCGTAAAGGACAATAGCGCGTTCGTTCCTCACCGCAAACACGTGCGATCCGGAGTTTTGCAAATATCTCAGCATCAGTGAAGCTATATTTCGCAATATACCCTGCCATTAAAAATAATAGGCACTGAATAAAACGGCTAAGATTGTGAAAAAAACACTATCCGGTGCCCCGGTGAAAGAAGCTGCATCTCATAAATCAGACTGTGAAGAAGAACACTACTGAAGTCTGTGTCGTGACGTATATTTCATAACAACTTGTAGTTCCTAGAATCGACCTTCTCTTAACCTCGGCATTGGAATATGAATGTGTCGTTTTCTTGTTCAGCAATCGCCAGGTTTTTAAACAGCATACATTTACTTCCATAGAAAAACACAATACAATACAACGCTAGCTGACGTTTCGGCCTGGAAGGGTATACCGGCTCTGAAGGCTCTGAAGAAGGCGATACTGCCGAAACGTCAGCTAGCGTTGTATTGTATTGTGTTTTTCTATGGAAGTAAATGTATGCTGTTTAAAAACCTGGCGATTGCTGAACAAGAAAACGACACAACTTGTAGTATCCTCGTCACGAAAACGTCAATATGATCATACTGCAACAACAATATTGCAGTACATCGTCCTTCTTCTAGTTCTCATCTTCAGCTCATTTCTTCACGAAAACCGCATTAAGAAAGCACAAAGCACAGCAATATCTGTGGATTTCCTTTCAACAGGTTTATTTCTCTACATAGAGTTTTTCTGCTACTATTCTTGTACTCAGTTAATAGGCCACCTAACAACCCCTCAATACACTAGATAAATACCAAAACTACTTCGGGGACGCATTTATTTCACGGCCAGAGACAATTAGTGGCGATAGATATACTCATTAGATTTTCACAAGCGAAAAGGGTAGAAAGGTGCCTCTGGAAATTCTTTGATTGTCAAGAATTATTCGAAGCTATCAAAAAATATGCACCATGCACTGCCTGACGTACATAACTATCACCACCACTTGATAACACCTTCCTGTGTTCATTCCAACCTAAACAATGAATCTTTGCCTCTATGACTAAATCTTGCAAAATTTCATTTCTTCTATTAAACAGTATAACAATAATTGAAATCTACTATCCAAGAGACGGTTGGTTCACTTGAGAGCCTTGAACGCCTTTGGCATGGCGCAGTGGTCAAGGTGATGGATGTAATCAAGCATCTCCTGCAATTAGACAATTGATGCCAAATAACCTACTGAAGAAAAATGGGGAAAGAAACTTAAACAAAAGGTCCAAATACCTGATGGCAAGTTTCTTCAGTATTAGTCCTACTATTAACACGATCATTGCATTCATCTAGCAATGCTTTGAAATCAGCAGCATGACCAGCGCATCTTTCCCGCCATTGCGTTAGTTGGTCAACACCTTCCTCTAGCGGTTCGTTGTGATCCGGCATCTTACTGTAAACAAGTCCTCTTTAACAGAACTGGAACAAACTCATAAAGTTGCTGTACAGTAGCAACAAATAGCAATTTGCAGAAGAAATGGGCACTTAGCCACACATGAAGCAAAGACGTATAAAGCCTTTAAAAAATTGTTTATGTCGACCAGTTTGGGACATCTACACTTGACCCCATGAAGAAACCGCCTATGGGAACTTCCAAAACGAGATGACAACGTTCAAGCTCAATTAGTAGACGGAAAAAGCAAGATGATGCCCCGCGACATTGAGGTAAAGTGAGTCAACCACTTGAGATACGCGAAGTAAAGAAAGAGCAAGAAAGAATTTTTCGAAATAACAACAAAACCAAATTAAGGCAGAAAACACGGCCTGCCCATGAAAAACAGCGCAAAAAGTATTTCAAGGAGCTAATTAACACTGAGTACGATTTGAAACATCTATCCACAATTTAACGATACATGGTAACTATACACATAGGAACACGAGATTACGTGCTTGAATTAATTCAAACGGAAGAAGTTCAACAATCATCAGAATAGAATAAACAATAGGAATGGTAAGTTTCAAATAAATCTGAGAAACCGATTGACGAACTAATGGATTACAGGCCCGTGCGATTTAAAGGAAATCACTTTCGAAATCTTGCAGGTGGTGTCGGTGATCGTGGACGTATGCGTTTGCCGAGTGACTGATAGACTTCCCGTTCTCGAACCTTACTTCGTTCCTGGAAATGATACAAAGCTCGCAATTCAACGCTACAAAAGCATAAAAAGTCAACCAAATGATCGCTTTTCAATCACTCTAACCCGTATAAACAGTAATAATATTACGTTACCTTAGCTCGTTCTCGATCTCGATCTGAGTAACGCTCACGACTTTTACTCCGACTTCTACTTCGTCTCCTTTTCTCGTCCCTTCTATCATCACGCCTATCTCTATCACGACGATCCTCACGCCCTCCTTTGCCTCCACGACCTTTATTCCTCCCATTTCTATCTGGAGAATCTCTTCGTCGTCGACCAGGTGAATATTTTCTGAAGTTTACATACGTTCTCAGCATGAGACACTATATACCAACTAGATTTAAAACACGAGCACATAATAAAGTACAACTTAGTGTAAAAAAGAAAAAACTGCAGTATATGCCAGTAAAGAGGCATAATGCACTATATATGTACAGACATATGTAGCTAATAGATACGTACCGTTTTGGACTACGCGAACGAGATTTGGAGCGCGATCGACTTCGACTTTTCCCACGACGCTTCTTGCTGTCGTCTCGTTCCAATTCTTAAACAATCGTAACTATCAGATAAAAACATCATATCTATAATAACTAAACCAGTACTAGCTAATTTCAATGTAGCATCGTGTAATAAACAAAATGGATCAGATAAGACATAAAATTTGTTCATTGAATTCTGTTTAACTTTGGTGTAGAATAATGTCAACAAAAGCAGAGTCATTGAAATTGTTACTGTGGAACAGCAAGAAACACATCAAGGAAATCCTCTCAAAATATCAAACCCAGTTAAAAATCCAGTTCTATAATTTCATCGTGGTACTAACAGCTTATATAAGATTACAAATGTAAGTTCTAGGTGTGGCAAACAAAATGAACAACTGGAAACTGAGCAACTACGAGGTTGTTCGGAAATTATTGGCGGATTTTAACCAAGTTTAAATCATCTCATATTAGGTACAGTTCTGAACACATTTATTAACAGAAATACAAACCAATTAAGACCTACACAATTTTGCTAATGCGGAATAAGTTTCCTTATACCTATACCAAAAATTCTACCCTTCTTCAGGCGATAGTTGCTAAGCATAAAGATGATGAAAGCTGCAAGTATTGTGCATACGGTAAGATTTCGTAGTCCAGGTCCTCCAACCTTTGTAGCGCAGGTTGTGCGACGTGTGGCTACTCGTTACCGTGGAAGATTGGAGCATTTCTGTTGAACTACAGTGACCGTAGCAGTTAAAACATCTGCTGCATATCGCCTACTTGCTAGACGCACATCTCCTCCGTAATGATTTCACCCTGATTCATGAAGCTGTAATAGATCAAGCAAGCTGCAAACCACTAAACTCGCAGCGTGATCTGATTTTCGTGCTATTTGGGCTTTGAGATGTACTGCGGAGCTTCACCATGGTCTAACCACTAGGCCGATTTTTACTGGTTGTAGTGTGGCACTCACCAATCTATTCTTCTCACACGTTACAATACGGTCCAGATACAGGACATTCAGCTATCGTAGAACAAGTGACGAAATCACCTCGAAATGGTGATTTCTTCTATTACTGTTCAATTTCTCGGAGGCGTTCCCGAGTGACGGTTGCGATGCACAGCGAGGAGATCGTCACCCTCAACAGGGTCTTCTAGCCGAGGAGCCCAGCGTTTCCACGCGGAAGCCTAGCTAAGAGTAAACCAATGCCACGATCCACCACCATCCTGATACCAGAGCAGACTTTGGCTAGGCCGACCTCAGAACTTCAGTGAACCACAATTGCTAAACCATCAAAACTCCGAAATATTGGAAATTCTGGGGCCCGCACAACCAGTGAAGACGGGACATCCAAGTATCCAAGTAACTAAGTAGCATCGTTCAACTTGTGCGGTATCCACGTTCCGAATTCTACTTTCCAGTTTTCTTCACATGTTCGCAAACAGTTAAGGTGCATAGGTAGAGTTCTTTTGCAGTTTCGCAAACAGTTGTGCGTACATTTTCTTCCACCGGACCCTTCAATCCTTCGTCAGTAAAATAAGGACGCCTGCAACCTTCCCCGTGTTCTTGGTCGAACATACCATTACGAAATTTTCTAAACCAATGTTGTACCTGAGTTCGTTAACATTTCCTTAGCGTCGCACCTTATTAGTGTTTACTACCGTTTGCACCACACGAAATCCCAGTTTGAACGCGTAGAAGTAGGTTTCTAGGGAGTTTGGTTAAAAAACTCTAATCTTTAAAATTTGTAAAAACGATCTATGTTATAACTCAACTAAGTGTGCCGAAAGAGTATAAAATGAGCATTGCAATGATATGTAATAGTGCAGTATTACAAAAAAAAAACTGTTGACAGAACATATACAGAACTGAAATCACACATCCAACATTAACTTTCGAACAACTTGAAATGTGTAACACACTTCAACATTACTTGGAGATTCATACCTTCTTCTACTTTCTTCTTCTCGTTGGTTATTTTTTGAGCGACCAACTGAGCCTTCGCTGCTTTTTGTGAAGCTTCAATTTTCGACCGTAATTTCTCAATTTTCTCGTCCATCTCCCTCCAACTGACGGCCTAAAATAGCATGATGAACTGATACTGTAAAAAATAAAACTATGACCAAACGCCGAACCAAATCACTGTGACTGAACGCACCTTTTGATTAGTATACATATTTAAAAGCATTAAAGCAATTGCATGTACGTCCGTATCCGATGCATCAAAAAGTTCATACCTAGATAACAGTGAAATAAAACACTGCATTAATCTTTCAAATGCTCGCATTCAAATGGACCAACCAATTGCGCGGTTTATCGGGAAGGGGCACTTGCGGCTGCACTGTGCGAGCTGCCAAAAAGATACACGCGCAAGCTATAGTTTCCGGAGAGTACCGTACAAACATGTCAGTTCTCAATCCATCATTCATGTACGTCCTATAATACCGTAAGTAAATACCAAAGACTACCAACTTTACTGTTTCGATGGAAACAACTAACCAAGCTTTTTGTATAAGATCCGTCCGGTGATGAGCTCGTAAAACGAAACAATAGGCACATATTAACTTATGAGGGTGTTTGACGTGAACGACAAAACCCAGGGTAGCTAGCAGCCTTCTCTCCGCCTTGATCATCTATAAATTATTCGTGCGTCTTAAAGCAAACAATCTCATTAACGGATCATAGTTCATCAATACGTATTCTTCAAATATTAATAAAATCACTTAAATAAAGAATAAACTAATAAAAATTGATCGGATAATAGCAAAAGCGATGAAACAGATTCTAGAAAATAAACTATCTATAAAAGGGTAAAGGTAACGGTGCTGATCAAACTCTTAAGCATACGCCGTGCAACCGACTTCATTGAGCCAAGTTAAGAGCTGATTGAATGCATATCTCGCCTTTACAATGACTCGCAGTGGCCTACCGATGTATCGAGCCAATGCTACTAACCTCGCAGACAAAAGTGGTACCAATTTGTCCACCCCGAAGGGATGGAGAACTTGGTGGGCCAGGTGCTAGTGAATCGATCCCATAAGTACCACAAAATGCCACCGACCACTGCGCCACACGCGCCGTAAAACTATGTACATACACCCAATATAAGAGGCATATCCGTGAAAAAGCAGACTCACGTTGTTTTTTGTATTAACATAACTGATGTCAAGAGGTGGAGGTTTCAGTCGAGCTGCTGTGTCACTAAACAAAGTTAAGCAAGGTAAAAAAAAAAACAAAAACTGACGAGAAGTTCTAGAACAGCGAACGTTTACCAGTTCTTCTTCATCAACATGATAATCATGATTTACCTTTTCAACACTTGAATGGGAAAAATCCGAAACAAAATAATACTCACCCGTGCATCAGGAGGTCACGAAACGCATGACTGTTGTATAGAGCTCTATGCTTACACGAATATGTCAACCTACTTTGATGAAACAACAAATCTTGGTACGTCGTGTTATCAAAACCGTGTAACTTAGATTAAGCTTAGAATTGGAATAAACAAGGTTATCGCCGAGAACAAATCAACTCGAGTAAATAATACAAATGTATTAATTTCAGTTTTCATCACTGCAAATACCAGTTTGAAATGTGTAGCACTGAAAAAAAAGAAAAAGAGCATAAAAAGATGATAGACTGACGCATTTTCGACTTGAATACATGCCGAAATGATGAATGAAAACGCATATGACAATTATTCACGATCACAAACTCGACTAAGACTTCCTCTCCTATTTAGGGAAACTAGGCGAGAAGTGAAAAAACGCCCAAAATTTCCATGACGTTGAAATACTGAATCAGTTGGACCAGAAAGGAACTGGACTATATAATATATATACACATATGTTTATGCGCATATATATATATATATATATATATATATATATATACATCTTTCCAAAGGTTTACCGCCACAATGTGGCCGGGATATGTTCCTCGGTGTAGGAATGCGATATACAGCGGGGAATTCATCTCCCAGCATGGTCTCCCGAGCTAAGAAAGTGTTCTTCGTTTCCATCAAGAAGCCCAGGTAAGAGCAAATCAATACCAGAATCCACCATTGCCCTGGTATCGAACTAGTCACATGGCGGTAAACTTCCCTCTGATCCACAAGGACGCCGACTGCCTGGAGTGGTGACGACCTGAGGCAGACTTTGATCAGGCTGACTTCAGGACTCCAGGGAACCACAATGGCTAAGTCAGCAAATCTCCAGAAAATTGACATTATGCTGGGGCCCACACAATGAAAGAAGACGAGCCATCCAAGTATATATATATACACATATTGTATATATATATATGTATACGTACATAAATAGACATATGTACATATGTATACGTATATACATATGTATTTGCGCATATATATATACATACAGGTGCATATATATGTAAATAGTATACGGGACGTAGCGCTGTGGCTACCGAGTTAGTTGACCCGAAAGCCGAGGCGCGAATTCGATTCCCTCTCCAACGCCCTCCTTCAACCCAAGTGGGAACGCCATACATAGCTAGGCTACCTCCAAGACTGTAACGAGAATGGACTACACGAGCATTCTACGACATTCATAAAGAAAACGAAATCCTCAAGTGGCTACTGAAACAACATGCGAAATGTTCGAAGACCGCTATAGACGATCAAAACAAGGGAAACGAATCGAGTGCAAGAAGTGCTGTAATCCGCACAGCAGATGTAATGACGGGTCACGTAGAATAAAATAAAATATCATAAACGTACATATATCCATATATAACACAATTGTACTTATGTACATATGTATATACATGTATACATTACATACATATATATACATGCATATACAAATATACATATAAAACAGGATTACGACCTGTGAGCGCACCTAGGGAGCATAAAACAAACTTCGAAAGAAATTACATCTGTATAAACTATTTAATTTCGCTACATGTAATCTAATCAATGTTATGTTCTACTGATGAGCAAACATAAAGTTGTTCCAAAAACCCCATTCGGTTAACGTTTCGGATCCTTCTCCTTTTTCAATGCAGGGATGATACAAGTCGAATGTCTACGGCCGTTCATTCTTATAGTGTGGGTTTTCACAGTTGCAACGAGTTGAACTTAGTTGAGTAGTGCACCGCTTGAATGAAGAAATCTCATTCGGTAGGATCCTTTTATATATGATGGTTGTTAATTGACCACATTGATAACAGTTGTAGTAATCAGTAACTAGTTATCCTTACGGCTAAACGATAGCTTATACAAAAGGACACTGCTGAATGAGAGCACTACTTTTGAGCCTTGCTTCACTCCAAGGGACTGGACTCGAGACGATTATGAAAACCAACACAAGAAGAATGAACGGTTGTGGGGAATTAACTCCAATCATTATAGCACTGAAAAAGGTGGTGGAGTAAAACATTAGCCAAAAAAAACCTTTGTAAGACCTCATTTTATCTTTTCAATGGAATAAAACATCGATTTAACCTACAAATTATACAGTTCGGAACAAGGATGAATGGAACTCGATGTTATCACATGTCCCTCCACAGACACCAATTTAGGCCATCAAAGCTGCTCGAAAATCATGTGAGAGGAAACATGTGTGGTGGAGCTCTTTAAATTTTGATTTCAAGGGGCGCCTTCACTAATGGTTGAGATATTTTGCAGTGATTGAAGAGGTAAAAAAGAAAGAATTCACCGCTCCTTTATCGTTGATTGCGCAAAAATAGCCAAAACCCTCTCTCAAAAAGAATTCGGACGTATTGTGAAACCAGAAAAGAAAGAAAAATTGCAGACTAAAATCCTACATAACCGAACTCAACATTGATATTTTTCATTTCATCATTTTACACGATTTACACGACCCGCCTCTTTCACATCTGCTGTGTGGATCGATGCACTTCTTCCTTTCAATTCGCTTCTTCCTATCTACGAAGATCCACATCCACGAAGATTTTGGGACATCTCGTACGCGGATTCGGATACTGCTTGGGATTTTCGGCATGAACGTTGCTGAACAATGGTCGAGTCAATTTCCTTTGCAGCCCTGAGGTACCCGGACTAGACCGCTGCCACTAGGATTTCAGCGACTAAATTGTCCCCAAACGAGTCAGGTAAAATTCTCCGACCCCGTAGAGATGAGAGGATTGGTAAGCCCGCTGCATAGGTCGAACCAGCACCTGGGTAGATCCCGACTTCGCGTAATGAACTGGATCACTACCACTGCTTTAACCGCTCCCTAAACATAGATAACTGCACCGAAACCCAACGATATTGCCAACATTTTCTCCGATCTACACTTACCAGATATCGTTCATTCATCAATACCAGTAATCAGATACTACAAGTTTGATAAGAAATTTAAATTTTTGGTAACATTTCTAGCAAAACATCAACGCATTGGATGGTCTAGGGAACCGGAAAGGTTAAGAGGTCCACTGATAGAGTAAACAGAGCACGATCAAGAAGAACAAGATTGAAACTGAAGCTCTGAGTGTCAGATTCTAACCAGAGTTAAAAGAAAAATGAAAATCGCATCCGCATAATTTGCTACAACAGTGGTTGACGCAAAAACCACTAAAGCCTACCTACTCATTTCGGACAATTCAGCTAATTTGAAATAGTAATATATCAAACCTCATGCGTTTCATTCCTCCCGACGTTTCACAGGGAGTCACATCACTTAGGGATGATGTAATTTTTCAAAACTGTGAGAAAACACCGAAACAATAGGGAGAGAAGCAGGCGACCCGAGTCCCCCGCAGTGTTGACTCTCCCTCCTCACTCACTCTCTTCCATCAGGTCGAGTGTGGGTTGATCACCTAGATAAAAAGACTTGCAATCCAAATCTGAACACCAACAGATTTATAAAAATTCAAACTTACGCCACAAAAGACTATGTTCCAGACCAATCAAATCTAATTTTTGCTATTTTTGTAATTTCAAACATATGAATCAAAGATAATTTGAACCCATAAACATATATACTTACACACATATATACATATATATATATATGCATATACATATATATACATATATGTATATACATATGTACTATTCACAAGTACGTAGATAACACATAAGTATACACCTAATGTACATTTAATATATATAAGTATAGACATATATATTACACATCCTCCCAACGGTTTATTGCCTCATCGTGATTGGGAGGTGTCCCTGGGTGTTGGGCTCCATTGTACAGCGGGGTACTCATTCCCCGGCAGGATCTCCAAAACTGAGGCCGGCGTTTCCATCAGGTAGCCCAAATAAGAGTATGCCAGTACCAGGATCCACCACCGTCCTGGTATCAAACTAGTATGGTGGCAAATCTCTCTCTAATCCACATGGGCCGCCACTACCTGTAGTGGCGATGTCGTAGGGCAGACCTTGGCCAAGCTGACCTAGGACTCTAGGGAATTATAATGGCTAAAGCAGGAAAACTCAAAAAAATGGAGAGTATTCCATTTTTGTACATACATATACATACATGTACATACATATACGTGTGTACATATACATATGTGTATCAATGTATACATATATATGCATATTTATGTAATCACACATATACACACTTTGAACTCTTAAACAGCCCATCTTCAGTGGTTGTGTGGACCCTAGCACAATTTCCACTGTTTCGGAGTTTTGCTGGCTTAGCCGCTGCCATTCCCTGTAGTCCCGAGGTCAGCCAGAGCAAACTCCGCCCCAGGCCGTCACCACCACAGACAATCGCCGCCATTGTGGATCACAGGGTGACTTGCCACCATGCAACTAGTTTGATACCAGAACGGTGGTGGACTCTGATCCTGGTATTGGTATCACACATATATAAAGCATATATACATAGTATGACATGAAAACATTGCATTGTTTAAATATATATACTACATCTTACACTGAAAACTAGCTGTTGGCCTCTATCCCACGTCGCGTTGTTATGAATTGATATTGAACCTCTGAGAATGTGACAAGCGCAGAGGCAGGGTACACTGAAGGTTTTGGAAGAGAGCGCCCTTCTGTTGCTCGCCCTAGTTATCTAAAAGTCCTTTCACCGAGGGGTAAGTTCGAGAAGTACTACGGAACAAGTCTCCCAATAAATTCCCCCTCGTTCGTCAAACAAATCCCCGTTTTTCTTCTATTATGTAGATGTTTAGGAAATTCTGAGATAGTACGGAGTCTTACATTCAGCTGGTCAATGTTGAACACAAAAACTTCTACATAAAATCCACCCAAACTGAACATTTGAATTCTTAAAGTAGACGTAAATCTAAGTAAGAATTTTGAGCCTGCGCTCCACATTATTCAAAATGTCGCTTTAACAAAAGTACTAAATGAACAGATCTTTTCATTTCCTAGGATCTACTTTCTATTAACCTTGGAATTGATTCACTGATAATTCACTGTTTTCTTTCCTTTTCTTTCTTTTCATTTCTTTTGCATTACGCCAGAACGGCAAAAACTCGTCCAAGAATTTATGAGGATAAAACCGAACGTGCTAAAAATACAGTGATTGCTTTTACCACATTGATGAAGATGAACATAGCGAACTTGCTGACTTACGTGTCAAATAGTCAGATCAAATGTCAGATTTTAAGAAAGCTTCCAATTAGACTATAAATGGACTTGATTGGAAAGAAAACTGAAACGTAGTAATAATGTACATACTCATTGATGACGCGTCCAGAATCTCTGAGCTTGTGAAGCTGCTCCAAGCGATAGAAAACATTATACACATCTCTGGTCCGGCGCGGTTCTTCCTCTATTTTCGAGGCAAGAAGCAAACACGCCATCACAGTGTGCTACAACATTGTAATATGCATGTGACAGAAACACTAAACTCTTACGAGACTAAAAAAAAGGGGATAAAGAAGCACCCTACCTCATATCTAAACTTCAGAAAACTCTTCAGGTAGTAGAACCGTTGGAACAATATCTGTCCTGTAGCAGCCGCTACTTGAGGAAGTTTTAATAACACGGCACCTTCTTGTATAAGGGTGCACCCAAAGAATCGAAGATTCTACAATCATCAGACAGAACTAGGGAAACATAATATTTCAAAAGCCACCGAATTTTGTTTAACGTCGGGATGACTAATTAGCAAACATCTTTTCATTGATAAGCTAACACAAGGTTGACTAGAAAGAAACTTTAAAGAAGGATTCGGGAAAACCCCAGTCCGGCCGGTCCTCTAGCAGATTCGGCTCGAAGTAATAATCATGGAGACCAAAATCGCAAGAAAGAACAGCTACGGACAACCGATTTGGACCAGTCCGAGTTCTGAAAGAAGCTAAAGCGACAAAACTTCTGCCAAATAAGGTCTTTTATGATCTTCGCGTTAGCTTTTCAATGGAACAGTAGGTGCTAATTAATCAAACACAATCCCTACTGATATCGGCGCATCATCCTTTGAAAATCACACCGTACTGCATCAGAGAACCTAGACCTACTTTTTCAGTTTCCCTATCCATGCCGTCTGCAAGGGAGGGTGGATCCTGAAGCATTAATCGAGCCTTCTCATCCATTGTTTGATACCATTTATCGCAGTTGATACTAACACTAGAAATAATGTAATGCAGTCTGGACGATGGCTAATCATTCCTTCAATCAAACCCCTTTATGACCTCATGAGTTAAATTTTAGAAATAAAAACTACGTCTGAAGTGTTTACGCTTTTTATATTCCCCGTAAACAAAACACCTTACGTTGAGAAGTGCGGCCGAAGACCGAATGAGCTAGGACGGATCGGATTTTTGTCCTCAACAGACGCTTCGGCAGTCTCACCTCCATTCTGGTCATTTTTCGCAGCTGTAGTGGCATTGGGCTAAAACTTTACCATAACAATTAAAATAACAACCGGCTATACCAACAAATTATAAAGTAAACTTCAAAACAAGAAAACATCTGTAAAAACACACCAACCTTTCTCGTACGGACGAAAGCTTGTGCTTTCGCTAAAGCTAGGCTTCTCTTTTCGGCCAGTGTGGTCATTTCAAACCCTCACATAAAACCGTGGCGAAATCTCAGGCGTTTGCAAAAACAGTTGTTCACGCAGCCTAAAACGAATTTTGACAGAATTAAGGGGTATCGGACAAAAAGCTACAATTGAGCCGTTCAAATGACAAGTTAAGTGATCATAAAACAAGAAGATAATGAAGTACTCGTAACACTAACACATTAGAATTGGAGAAATGAGCGTCACGCATTTCGTAAATGTGTTGAGGGCGATCTGTATTTCTGCGTGGATGCATGCGCAATGGGCGGTCACCTACAGAGTTTTTACTCTACCGTTTCATGAAAATCGTAGCACTCAATCGCCACAGATTTTATTAAGGTTTGCGATATATTGTTGATTGCTGTCTTACAGGAGTTTGGTCATCCCTAGTGGAAAGTGGATTATTCCATAGGAAGCCTTGGAGTTTCAAAGGACGACGTAATTGTGTTATTTTGAATTCATGACAAATCTTTGTCATCACGACGGGGAAAAAAGATAAATAGAAAGAAAAGAATAGGAAGAAGCTTCTCATCAAGAACGAAGGGCACATAAAAGCCACAGATTCCGGCAGGGCGCTTTTTGCTTACTGAGTAATGGACCCGTCGAGCGTCTATCAACAGAAGAGGCGTCATGCTCAGACATGTGGACACCACCTCTCATCGCACGTCTCAAAGTCGCTTAGCTAAGGATTCATCTTTGATATGGTATGGATCCCTTCTGGGGACTTCGTTGCCGTATTCGGTAACATCTGCTAGGATTCTCATTCTGGAGACGTAGCCATTTCTCTGTTACTTGATACTTGATACTTGAATGGCCCGTTCTCACGTGTTGTACGGGTCCCACCTCATCTCCATTTTTCGGAAATTTGATAGTTAAGCAATTGTGGTCCGCTGGAATCCCGAAGTCAGCCTGGCGAAAGTCTGCACCAGGTCTTCACCACCGCAGACAGTGGCAGCCCTTGTGGATGAGGAGAAGATTTCCCACCATGCCGTGTCAGGGGATGAACCCCCCGCTGTACATCGCAGTCGGACACCCAGAAACACCTCCCCAGCCACGATGAGGCGGTAAACCGTTGGGAGGATTTCTCGGTGTACTACGCCAAACTCGAGCCTATCGGAAGCTGTTTGAAATGGCAACATCTGTACGAAAGGTTTAACTAATACTTTCTCGATGAAGCTGGTTTCCCAATCCCAAAAAGGAATTCTAAGAATCCAAAACTTCATATATTCATGGAAGAGAACTTGCTCTGTCGCACTAATCGTCTACATTATTTTATGCAGTGCCCACTCAAACGTTTAGGATCCCCATTTTCAAGAGACTACAGATAAAACTTGTAAACTTTGAAATTTCTAGTGCTAGAAGAGCAGTTGGAAACATGAGCGCTCAGTGAAGAACACCATCATATTGTTCCAGAAGAAAACCTGCCTCCCAATTTGCTTTCATGTCGGAACTATGAGCATCGAAAGAAAAGAATGCACAGATAAGACGTCGTGGCCTTCAGAAGACCTGAATCTCATCGCTATCGAAAACAACAGAGTTTCCGTCGTGGAGTCACAGTCTTGCGGATTCCAATATTTTTTATTGCAATTAATCAAATACGGTATGAGTTGAGATGCGCTGATCTTAAGTTGAAGAAGGCCTTCATTTAGGCACCGTATGACTTCTATAGAGGTCTATCGCCTAAGGTTTAAGAGGCACCACTTAAATCCTCTTGACCGTTGAAATGTAAACTAGAAGAGAACATACATCGTGACTAAAGCAACTGTGCAGAAATCGGACGCTTCTAGTCGGTGGATTTAACTATGATTGAACTGACTCAGGAATTCCAAGAAGTTCGTTGAATGAAGAAAGAATGACGCTGTAATGACGCGCAAGTGACCTGACAATCCATCGACTCGGATCATCGGCTTTACGGAAGACGAAGGCGTGGTAATGTTAGCGGGATTAACATCTATGTCAACCTCGTGCAAGCTCAACAATTTAAACATGAACTGGTGAGTGTTTAAAAGAAGCAATTTATTATGCCAATGGAAGTTTGTGTTAGATTTTGTTTGCTGATATTATGAAACTGTTTAACTGAGTAGATCACATGTCAATTTCACCTTTCCAGGCTCTGAAGAAGGCGAAATAGCCAAGACGTCGGCTATTTTATGCTTATAAATTCTACAGTACCAATCTCGTACTTTCTCACTGAAGAAAACCATTGAATTATGTAGGGGCTTATACATTGAGGCCTGACAATTATGGCTCAGGACTGCAGGTGAAGAGTTGATACCTACTCAACCGGCAAACAGCCAGCGCAATTGATTAGGTGCGCTTATAAGCGCCCGAAGTCATTTCCACCAGCCCAAGGTAACAATTTTACGGCATGTCAAAGAGTTCGCATCATACTGCATACTATTAGCACAGCAGAACAATACCCAATACCCACAACTGCGCTTTATTTAGAAGACAAGTGTTTTGGTTGTTTGTTGGTTAGTTCCCTTGAAGGATACCAAGAGTCTGGTGATCGACATATGGAAAATTGATGACAAAGTCGTTACCAAATTGTCACGAAGTATTTGGGTGTAAGCTTCGTCATACATGCACCCGTTACCAACTACACCTGACTGTCTTCCATTGCATAAATTCGCATTCAAATAAGACCATTTCCATCAATTAGAACTCCATCAATCCGTAAAGTTAGTGAGGCCACCTGGCTACTGGTGACGATAATGATGGGAGGGATTTCTTCGATAAGCAGTCGAGACAATTTCCCTCCATCTTTTTTCTTGCTCACATCAGAAATCAATTGTAGCTGCTATTTTTCGAGAAAGTGAAAAACGGTTTTTCCTCGTTTTCGCCACTGTAACGGGGTTGGTATACATTTTATACTAGCTATATTGAAAAAACAACACGCGGCCATCACATCGCATTACTGTCAAAGTGCTAAGTAGGAAAGGAAATAGTGATCGATATAGATGCCAAGAGAAAACCACACTGCGGTCGATTTCCTTTTGATATAGAGCGCTCTGAAAAAGGTCCTGATTGCAACCAATATGTCTCAATATTAGATAACGTTCACGCGGAAACAATCGCCGAGCAATGGAGAGTGTCATTCAGAGGTATGCTTACCAGAAAGGCGACAGAAAGATCTTCACAATTATGCTCTGATTTCACTGCCACATATATGAATTACGAATACTTCTCGATGACTATGATATAAGCGCATGGGAAGAATTACGGATGAAGTCTAGCCACTTCTGTAGGTCAGATTGTAATAACGACTTCACTATATGAACCACAGCCATGGATGTTTTCGGAGAGTATCATCTCCCCTTTGCTCTAACCTTTTTTAATTGCATAAAGAAAACGGCGTTAAGACGAACACGGTCGTCTCAGCACTCGTATACTAAAGAAGACGATCGCTCCACTAGGACGAAAACACGAGAACGTACGAGTTGGTTCTTTCACATTTCGAAAATATTCTTAGTTGAATATCTTCAGCTGCCTACATTCACATTTATATTTGGTACTATAAAACTTCGTATTTACGTGATAGTCGACACCGAAAATCCCTGCTCACCTTTTCGATTCAACAATCATCCTAGTGCTCTTAAACGATAAGAAAAGGATAGAGGAAAAGGGTAGAGATGTCGGCGTTGGTCAATGCCTTAGGGATGCGCCATGGATTCGACTTCATTAAGCATCGTTTGGAGGCGACTGAATGCATAACCTCGAGGGGATGGAAGGCCGGGTGACCCTGGAGCGTGGATCGATCCTATGTTTACTGGGAGGCGCCTCCGACTACTGCGCTATACGCGCCCTACCTTCTAGGCGGAATGGAAAGCTCTGACCTTCGAAATCTACTTCATTTTGGAGACGCTGGAGAACACTCATCGATAGCGAAACACGGATGTGCCGGTCACATAGAGAGAAGAACAGATGACAGATGGACGAAAAGAACTGTTCAGTTAAGTCCACAAGGAACCTATTGTCCCCTTGGACGGACCACCACCGAGTTCGATGGTCGTCTTCGTAACCAAGGTCAAACACTTGTAGTTGCGACCGCAGTTGTTTTACAGATCAAGGCATAAGAGCGCCATCATCCACTATGCTCTAATCAAACCACCATCATGGACGACGATTGCAAGGCGAAGAAATGAATGGAGAATACAACGGGGTCCGCAAAACTCTTGAAGAGAGGTCGTCCACGTATCCAAGGAAGCAAGTATTATGAATTAGTTTGAAAAAATGACCACCAAAGACTTTCAGTGTAAACAGTTGAAAAATTGTGTAAAACACAAATTCTAGGAATAAACTTCCGAAAATGGTGCTTTTTCGAACAATAATGTGATCTCCATGAAGTTTGGAAAAACAACTGCCCTGTGGGATATGGGATTTTGCTATGGGAAACTTGTCAACTCTTTATTACAAATTGGTTTCTACTGTTAATAGGAATTTCTTTTACATGACCCAACATCACATGTATCACAGTGTGCGGGTGCCACCGCTTCTTGCATTCTATTTGTTTCCCCTCTCCGTCGTCACCGAGCGTATTCGAACACTTTTTGCGCGGGGTTCGGCAGCTGCTCGAGGATTTCCACCGCCTCCCTCACGAATGTCGTTGAATGCTGGTCAGTTAATTTTTTTCTGGAATCCATAGATGGTCGTTCCAGAGTGTTCTTAAATGGATTAGAAGAAGTGTTCTTGTCTCGGACAATTCTAGTACCAACTTCTCGGCACCAGAAGGATGAAAGATCCACGGTTGGCTAGCAGCGAGGTAGAACGAACTCCTGGGTAGGTTCGTCATCGAACGATCGGCGATGTTGGTTGCCTAATAGAGAAATATATTAATAACATTCGGAGATGACGAAACACATAAAGAAAGATGGAAAGAAGGCATAGGTGACAATGAGTACAACTATAAGGTGTAAAAGCGAAGTGCTTTTTCAAGCATATCCAGCACTGACAGAATTATCACTTTCCATATCAATAAAACCATAGCTAATCATGCTGTGAAACGAGAATACCCCCGCCGTAGTAGGTTTCATTTTTGCTGGAGCGCTATCCTTCTGCGTGGACATTGTTCGGAATCGCCGATGTGAGTCATTTTTTCCTATAATTTGTACTCTTTCAATATGCTAAGGTTAGGAAGCCCTAGCTCTCCTCAGGAAACCCTCTTTGTATTGACGTACTTTACCCAACCTATCGTCTTCTCAGCGCATTAGAGTGTAACAATATTTTACCTAGAATTGTGAAAGTAAACGATATACACTAATTGCGCACCTTGCATGACAGTTGGAAAGAAGTAACGGAAAAATCTATAAAATCGATTTCACCCAGCATATTGCGAGTTATTTCTAAATACGCCATAATGGCTACGGATTAGAAAAGATTTAACCAAGGGAAAAACCGACAAGCTATCTTAACTGACACCATCAGGGCCGAAACTATGTACTTAATGTGCACGAGAAGGTGGATAATCGGGTTGCGGAGTTGTTAGTGATGCATTCCATCAGATAGCTAAGTCCTGGTTCGACAGCCTGGCCAACGCTCTACTCTAATCCACGTGGGAACGGTTTAGCTCCGTTATCTCCAAGATCGCAAGGAGAATCGCGTCGACCGGCGTTCTACGACATTTACAAAGAAGATGAAATTTTCAAGTAGCAAGCTAAATAACACGCGAAATGTTGAGAACCTTTGTGGATGAGGTAGCGAGGAAATGAATAGACTGCAAGAAGCTCTGGAATCTAAATACTAGATTTTCTTACCGGTCATCTAAAACATAACAAAAAAATAAAGGATGCACATGAATAACCATTCTGTAGTGCCACTTAAATGTCGCTAACTGGTATTTCTGGTTGTTATAATGTGCGGTCCTATCAACGGCTTAACACCTCATGGTGGCTATGAGGTGTTCCTGAATGCTAGGCTAGAGAAGAGATTCAACCTTTTCATCCGGAACTCCAGCTAACAGTAAACCAATATAAGTGCCAGAGATCACCACCGTCTTGGTACCAAAAAAGGCGCATGGCGGCAAATCTGCCTCTAATCCACAGGGGCGCCGACTGTCTGTTGTGGCGACAGTCTGCGAAACGCTTCGGCTAGCCTTGCCTCGGGAATTCAGAAAGCCATAATGGCTAACCCAGCAAATATCCGGAATGGAATTTATATTGAGGCGCACACAACCAGTGAAGGCGGGCCAACCAAGTATCCAACCATCTAGATAAGCATGATTTGCAAGTAGCGATGTGTAGTTGTATCTCCATCTTCTTCACAGAGACACACAATCCAAGTTGTTTAATAGTTTTATAATGACGCTTAATAAGGAGTAAGAGACGTCCAAGAATTGCAGTCGGCAAAATCCAGTAGCAGTGCGATAACTCATGCGGATTTACAACGGTCGATCGGCGACTGATCGTGGTTGCTACCTGAGAATAGTTGCAACTGCCATACCATTTCTTTTCCTTTTTTGTGTGAAGAAAATCTTGGCGATGAGGTTCACTTATAGTTGGGTGGTCGGCCTCTCTTAGGCGTTATCTGCCAGCAGCGGTGAACTTTCTGCGAGGCTTCGGTGTACCCTCTATTACGGCATTTTCACACACAGCAGTCTTGCCTCGCAAGTGGGCCATCAGGCGATTAAAGTTGCTAACTATTTTTGCACCCTACACGTTCCTTCAACAATATTATTTTGCGTTAATTAGGATTATTTCGGATGCTGTTCTTTAGGACGTCTTTACGTTGATACAATGCTCCTTGAAATTAAGAGATTTAATGGGCATATTTCTCATTTTTGTTATCGTAATCTCCACACCTGAGATTAAGAAACATCCAAGCTGAATAATGACCAACGAAAAAAGTTTAAACCCACTGGGAGAAGATTACCGCTCTTCCTACGAAATGACCTAGCTGGTTTTAATAACAGATAAATACATTCACGCATGTAATGTAGTTAATTTGAAAGCCCTTTATAAAAAAGGATTTTTTTCAGCTCTGACGATGGACAGAAAATCATCATCGGACTCAACTCCACGCGTTTTACGAGCACTCTATAAGGTAAACTGCGAGAGAATCTTAAAAGAGCGGTCACGAAACATGGATCAACGGAAATTGTTCAGTGTTTAGCAATCTTATAATGATCAACTTACGGCGGAACATTCACAACATTACCTTCATCACTTTAATTTTCGTTAGGACGCGTGTGGCTCAGTGGTCGGAGACGCCCTGCAACATACGCACGTGGAATTGATCCCACGCACATGGCTCACCAAGCCTTCAACCCTTCTGGGGTCGACAAATTGGTACCATACTTGTCTAGGAGGACAGCAGCATTGGCTCGATACATCGGTAGGTTACCGCGAGCCACTGTAAAGGCCAGATATGCATCCAATTACCTCCAACGGTTCTTAATAAAGTCGAATGCATAGCGCATCCCTCAAGGATTGATCAGCATAGAGCTTTGACCTTTTTATTTTTTACTATAATTTTCTCTTAGAGCCACCGATTTCAGTTGTATAACGACTTTCACAAGGTAACATGATGCGCCTACATTTGATAGAAAGATTCAGTTGCATTCAAGCAATGGAGGGTCATTCTCGGTCTATGTTGTGCCGAAGTGACCTAAACCTCTTCTTCTCGAGAACGTGTGCATAAATACTTGTGAGTATAGGTGGTGTGCTCGATTGCACGAGGACTGTATTCTCTTTATAAATATGCGACCTTGTCGACTAGGATATTTGCTGAAAGCAATTCGACTTAGAATCCTCTTCTTAATTCTAACATTATTTTTTCAGTAGGAAAAGCCTCATAGATTAGAACTGAGTTATTAAATCAACAATTTCCAGCCTTTGCGACCTCCGCTCCCTCTTGTCGGTAACGAAGTGATCGTGGTGCGGCACTCTGAAACGATTGATGAGGTGTTTCCAGACTGGATAGAGCGAAGTAAACTCGACGTGCCGGAGTACATTCCATTCGACTTGGTCTGTTTCGAACCATTTATGATTCATCGAAACGTGAGAGGGTCTTTCGATCCAAATTAAATGCTTATCATCAAAAAATATATTTCTAAAAATAAGCGCATCAGAAGTTAAAATGCTAATATGTGAGAGAAGACAAATGGACCAAGCGTTTTAAACATGGTTTTAACAGTCTTTCTTGCGACTGAGTGCTTTCGGTTTGGAAGCAAAAACAGTAGAGAACATTTTGCAGGCGACGAATAGCTTCATTATTGAACGTTGCTGCTTTATTACTTATTTCGACACTTCGACGGCCTGTCCTCACTGGTTGTGCGGGCCTCAGCACAATTTCTATTTTTCGGAGTTTTGCTGGCTTCGCTAATGTCGTTCGTTGCGGTCCCGAGGTTAGCCAGGCCAGAGTCTGCCCTAGGTCGCCACCACCACAGGCAGTCGTCGCCCTTGTGCATAAGGGGAGATTTGCCATTAAACGAGTAGTTTGATACCAGAACAGTGGTGGATCTTGCCACTAGTTTACTCTTAGCTAGATTTCCTGATGGAAACTTCGGACTCCTTCTCAACTTGGGAGACCCTGCAGTGGGGGATGAATCCCACCGCTGTACATCGCAGCCCGACACCCAGGAACATCTCCCAACCACGATGAGGCGGTAAACCATTGGGATGTGTTGCTTTATTACTCAACTAAATGTGCTAAGCATTTTGCATTATACTATGTATGTTGTAATTTTTGAAACTTTAGAACATGCCCGTTCGCTTGCCTCGACGTGCCGAGATGAAAGTCGCATACAAGCACGATCCGCCGCTCAGTGAGGTACAGGTGCTTCATTTGCTCTGGCATTTTTCAAAGAGATCCGAATTAGACAAATGCGACGACTTTATTTCTTCGAATTCCACAACGTTTTCCAAATTTTCATGTGAAATCAAGTGAATTCGACCACACTGGATGCCTCTTTAAATAACTATCGCATTGGAAAATCCATGGGAATGAGTTTCATTAACTGTCACGTATTTTTTGTATTTTTGAGCTTAGTAATTCTTGAAGAAAGCGTCTCCAATCTAAAGTATCTACGTATTTTTATTAAAATTATTGTTATTACTACATCTATGCAGTTGTTCTCGTCTTCCAAAACTCTCACCGTTGTGTTTTAATGGGTTTTCAATTTCATTGCGTATATCGCACACCATCTCAAGTGAAGAAATCACTCTATATTCCCTGTTAAAATCATTCCTCCTATGGAAATTTCCTATGCGTTTGAGAATGGGTTATAAATGAGAAAAAAAATCAGTTCGAACTGTTTTTGGCATGAGTTCGAAATGATAGTGAAGCATTGGAAATGGATCGCTACGTTTTATTTACCCAGTGAACATTTCACATGTACCTGATCATTTGTATTGGAGTTTATGCACATCTCTTTAATATATATTCTATTGACAGCTTGTTCAACGCAGATGTTATATCAGAATGTCCTGTCTATAAAGTAAAACGGTCTCGGGATTGATCAATACCTTAGGGATGCTCCATGCATTCGACTTCATTGAGCATCATTTGGAGGTCATTGAATGCATATCTGGCCTTTACAATGGCTCGCGGAGGCCTACCGGTGTATCAGGCTAGTGCCGCTATCCTCTTAGACAAAGCTGGTACCAATTTGCCAATCCCGGCTGGATAGAGAGCTTGGTGGGCCTGGGGCGGTGTTTTACAGCATGTGTATTGCAGGACGCCTCCGACCACTGTGCCACGCCACGCGCACCTTCAAATGTCCTTTCTAGCTATCAAAAATTTATAGCTTATTATCGAAAAAACCGGAATTGCCGTGTTGGCATCACGGAGGAGTCCTACTGTTTTTCCAGCCCCATTAAACCTGCGATGGTCATGTATGCGTCAATGATCGCTCTGTCCATTGCTGGTTTGAGGAACTTGACAGAAATCTGCTGTGGTGCTGATGTCCGATCCTAAAGCTCTCTCCCTCTATTCTGTTGATTGAAACTAAGTTCTCCAGAGGTTTCTAACAACCACGCGACCAAGTGACTTCTATAGGAGTTATTTGTTAAGTGACACGGTGACTAGTGTGACATCTGGGTAGGTCGTCTTGTTTTCCTGGTTTACATTGACTTTTAGCGTACTTCTTGTGTTCAATCGATTGTTTATTCAACATAGATGTTGTGACATCAGCCAAGAAAACCTTTATTCACTTAGAAATACACAAAAACCTTTTTTCGAACAAGTTTATTGGCTGGTGATTTCAGTGGAAACTGACTGCTACAATATAGATATTTTTATTTACTACCTGTTCTTTTTCATGGCAGAGTGTGTGAGCCAAGCTCGCAACCTGTGGTCCGGAGGTTTACAAATATCTCAACATAATTGTAGTTATATTTAACATCACACCATGCCAAAAGAGTAGGCTGTAAATGGAAACTGACTACATTGTGATTTATACTACTGCTTCAACTTAACTGAGTTAAATGCCGATTTGTGCTTTCCAGATCATTCCCGTTGAAGAGTGATTATTGATAGCACCTAAAAGTTAAAATGAAGCTCAGAGAAAGGCGAAACGAAGGACCTGCATGGCGTGGTAATGAAAGCGTCAGCCCCCGGAAAGAATAATAACGAGTTCGATCCACACTTCAGACACCAGCGGTCCGGAGTTTTGCAAATATCTCAACATCATTGTAGTTATTGACTGTTATTTTGTTTCTAATCACTGTGTAAATCGTTATTTTCATGTGAAAAGGCTTGTGGAAAAATAACCGGAAATCGATTCAAAATAAGCTGCAAAACGCTTCCAAATGTTGATATCAATGTGGTTGATTCGTGGAGCACAGCACAAGACCTAGAAAACGGGGACATCTGTACCACTTATACCAATGAAACTGGAGAGGAAAGTCTTTTTCAAAACTCTGCGATGTTTTAACCCGTAAAGTTCTCTGGTGATCACAATATTATCGTGTGTTGTCGAAAAATCAACAAGTCCGAGGAGAGCTGAAATTAGGTGTCGTCCATTGCCGCAGTTGGGCAAAACTAGGTGACGTCGAGTGAAGAAGAAAGGATTAGAGAGAACTTCTCCGCTCTCAACTTCATAGTAGGAGTCTCATGCTAGAAATAGAAGAAAATTGCAAAATCCCTGAAACATTCCCTCGTATCTAGAGCAATTTAGTCTGAAGTTTTTTTTTAAGCCACATTAGACCAATACACAACGGTTTTCTACAAAGATTATATCTATGCAAAAAGACAAGCCCTCTACGTTGAATGGACTGGATGGAAGAATTTCCAGATTGGTCGCATCATGACGCAGATTTTCGCACGTGAACTCGTCGTCCGAAATGCAATCCCGAAGGTTATTTATTCCTCGACGAGTTTCGCCAGCATTCAGACTGCAGCAGATATCCAGACCTTTATCGGGTATGTACCGTGCATAGGAACAGGTACATCATATTTTAGAGGCACGATTTTATGGATTTCCTAATTGCGCCACTCCCACTCTTGTCGTATCAGTACAGAATTTTGTTGTGAAAATGACCACAAAATGAAGTTTACCACCAGATTCATATGTGCATCTCTCTCGTTATTTGCTTTAGCGCCGTCAAAATGTGGTTTTCCCCAAACGACGTACTATTCATCTTTGTCCCATCTCTTTCGAAAATGTTGTTCACCCTACATTCACGGCAAAGAGGTGACGGGTGTCTCTTACACTGCGTGGGATCAAGTTATTGTGTTAGTTATTAAAACAGTGAGATGCGGCAAAATCTTATAGTTCACAAAAAATTTTGCGTGTCTAATGTTTCTATTGATATAGTTAGAACTGGACTTCTTTAGTTACGTTGCTCTGTCAAATAAAAACCAAAGTGAGGTTTAAGTTCGGATGTTACACACAGTGTAGTAGTAGCTTGCAGGTCCTACACAGTACAATGACAGTACTTGTTGTAGGAGGGTATTTATTGAATACCTTAGGTCTTCAAGCTTCATCACGCAGGCAGGACCCTTCAGTAAGCTTCTGTACATTAAATAATAAGAACAAAAAGGAATTCATATCCATTCTTATGTTATGGTACACCAACCAGGCAGAGATTAAAGAAGTATTTTGAAGTGAAGAGATGACGTCAGACTAATCATCTACCCAGTTATTTCACCACTGCACCTTCTGGAAATTGACATTGAAACAATTAACTGTTTTACTCAATTGTACTTGACCCCCATTTCTCTGTGGGATATCAGCTTCTTGTTAAGCCAAATTATCTAAGCAACTCCCAATTATCGTAAGCAAATGCCATGTGTACAATCAGGCTTTTGATTTCACTATCACCTAGCATAAACAGAAGATGAAGAAATTCTATCATTTCTAAGGAAGCAATGCGGTTCTATTTGTGTGGATCCAGCGCTGGCGTCTGACCGACAAGGTGCGCCGTTTTGGTTGACTCAGAAGGAGTTGTTACAACTGAATTACCGTATCAATGAGTCCTACATTGCTCAAAAGGTGAAGAAAGGCTGGTTGATATCGTTTTCTAAATCTTTTTAACGGTTTAAACTGTGTGCTAGTCCTCTTTGAAAATTTCTGTCGCTTTTGTTTGAAAAAAAAAGCTTATCACATAGGTGGAAAGCGAGGATATGAATTCAGTTGCAAACAGTATGAAGAGGCTGGTCAACATCTTCTCGCAGAGCACTGGATTAGGTATTTTTTATGGCACTATTCATGTTCTGTCCTAGCACTAGAAGCCCGATGTAACTTTAACACTCACGCAACTACAGGTATTTTCTCAAACTGTAGAAGTTTTCCTGTTTTAAAATGATGACTTTCTGACTTTCTGAAAAACATGAAATATAAGCGCGCGTGTGGCGCAATGGTCGGAAGCGCACTGCAATATACATGTGGAATCAAACCCCGCGCCCTCGGCCCACCAGGTCCTCCACCCCTCCTGGCTCCTCAAATTTGCACCAGACTTGCCTGGGAGGAAAGCAGCACTGGCTCGACAAATGGGCCACTGCGAGTCATTGTAAAGGACAGATATGAATTCGATCACCTCCAACGATGCTTAATGAATATATTTATTTATGTGATCTTATAAACCGATCTTCTTAAGCTGACGCGAGGTTGGTACAGTACTTCGTTGTCGTTATCGTTGTTTTTGATGTTATTGATCGATGGCTGACGTTTAGGCGACTTCGCCTTCCTCAGAGCCTCAGATAGTCGGCGACTATCTATGCCGAGGTTTATAGAAAGTCGGTTTTCAAGTTATTAAGAGATGCTTAATGAAGTCGAGTGCACAGTGGATCCCTTAGGGATTGATCCACGCAGAGAGCTTTATCCTTTTTTTTATTCATGAAATTAATTTCTTCTATTTTACTGGTTCGAAGTTCATATTTCGAAAAGGAAAGCAAAGGAACAATCGAAATTTCGTCCAGCATGACAGATTATATTTTCCAACGTGACGTTCATGTTTGTAGCTATCTTTCTTTTGTTGGAAGTTTTTAGAACTTAAATATTTTCTGTCATTTTTTAAAGGTTTGAATTCCACACATATTGACAATCCAAAGGAAACTCTAGAAAGCCTACTTGTGTGGTTGTGCCATAGAGGAAAACGATGTTTATAAAGCTGTAGAGGTTCAAACTACTGAAGCACTCTAGTGCTCGCGAAATCATCGTGAGTCATCGACGAGCAAGAATCGTCGCGAGAGGGCTAAAATGGAACTCGTCAGTAACTCTCGTTTTTTGAGATAGCTGAAAAGATTTGATGAAGACGAGCTTATTACGTAGGTGACCCAGGCTACTACCTACTCTTCTTACTAAAACATTATCTACCACTCAGGTAGTCTGTAATCCTTTTAATCATCGAGTTAATCATGCCGGCATTAGTTATTTCTATTCGCCTAAATTTTTGGCGTGGCACAGTTGCCTTCAGTCTTTTTTCAACATTTTTTTAGCGAAAGCATAGCAACAGCTCGCTCGTCGGACTCTGTCGTAGCATCACTTTACTACTATCTGGGATTCTGGATGGAATACGTGGTCGAAAACATTCCCGCATGATTGCACTGCAGGATTTCCTAGTACTCTTGCCCGTCTTGATCCAGTCGATCTACTTTAGCCGTTTAGTAGTTGATCTAAACATCTAAACACTAAAAAAAACTCGTAGTTTTGCAGAGAACCATGCCATAGGTTTAACATTGCTGTTGAAATCTTCTCAAGCATTTCGAAGATTGTCCGAAAACTCTGCAGAAAAATGAGGCGTTAGTGAGAATAGAACGCATTTCTATGTGTTGAACAGCATTACTTTACAATAACACGTAACGCCTGATGTTAAAGTTCCGTGGGTGTCGATTTGCTCTATGGCTGTGGTGAATGTTGATATTTAGCCCACTATCTATTACTCCATCTTTCTACGGCCTATTGAATAGCCACATAGCCACAGTGCTATCAGTATTTGGATGTGTTTTCCATTTCATATTGATTCACTTTCCGTATTTCGTATACCCGCTCCTTCTATATGATAACCATGATTCAGCAAAGTACGGCAAAGTAAAATTCAGTTAGAAGTCCATTTATCAGTCAATGGCTTTGTATTAACAGAAACGTTGTTTGTAAACTAGTAAGTGCAGAGAAGAGGCGCATGTGGCGCAATGGTGAAAGGCGTCCTGCCACACACGTGAAATCGCTTTCCGCGTCCATGGCCCACCAAGTCTTCCATCCCTACGGGATAGGCAATTTACTACCAAACTTGTCTGGAAAGGTAACGGCACTGGCTCGATACATCGGTAGGCCACAGCGAGTTATTGTAAAGGCCAGATATGCATTCAATCACCTCCAAACGATGTTTAGTGAAGTCGAAGTGCATAGTGCATCACTCGCGGATTGATCAACGCCGAGAGCTTGTTTTTAAGTGTAGAGAATTGATTTTCACGAGCCACACGTGATATAACATCTGATTTGAAGTAGCTATCGAATGTGTATAGAAATTTCAGCAAAAACTCTGCGTTGTAAAATGAGCTCCAGAAATAAACGTATTAAATGCAGCGCATTTCGTCCACTTTCCCTCCAGTCATGCATAGCGTACGTCATCTCTGGCGTCATGTGCCAACATAGAAATAACATCGAGCACTTCAGCTGAATCTCGACAGAGTTTAATCATAATTATACTTGTTAGCGACGCACTCAGATCGTCGAAAATTCAATGAATGAGTGTTCAGACATTACAATTACTTATAACCCAGCAACCGTACCCAGACAGTTGGACGATTCTTTGTTTAATAAGCAGCTTGTTTACTCATCTTGGACATCATGAATTCTATCTTTCGTGCACTATTTTGCTGAATGCTTGACGTCATCTTTCTTTAGAATCGTATAAATGTTTTCTGCTTCCGTAATTTTGGTTTTCGAACCGAAAGACGGACCGTTTCAGTGCTGGTTGTCACGGACTCGTTGGCCGTTTCTATGCTGATGGACATCATCTCAGAAGTCGAAAGGAAATATGATCAGTCGGAAAAGGTATGAGAAGGAGAATGAGAATCTTACGACATCCAAAGAAAATGAAGCTCAGTTTTGTACGAAACAACCCTGTCGCTTTTGAGCATTCACAAATGATTACTTTCAGCAGCTGCGTAAAGAGGCCGAAATTGCATTTCCAGCAACGTCCTCTATTATTTTCGCTCCTAATGCCAGCGTGAGTACTCAGTTTTTGACATCTCCTGATTTTCAACAGAACACAAAAGTGCAACTGAATGACGCCACTGGTTTCCTTGCAGATGCATTTGGAACCTTCACGCATATTTCTTCGTCCTCTAACCAGAATTGGCAAAAGTTCACTACCACACTTTGATGAAGAAAGAGTCGCTATGGAAGTGAAATCGTGATCAAGATCGATACACATTGATTGTAGGTCACAAAATTACAGAATTGGTCATTAAACGTATTTTGTGCCATGAATGATTTCGAACAGAGTGCCCTGAGCATTTTGTTGTTTATAAAATATTTGTGAAACAATGTGCATGCAAGTGCGTAACGCAGTCGTTTCACTGTAGTCGAGAAAAGGAATTCAATTTGGTCAGCGGATCCAACTCTATTTGGAACAACCGAGTCATCTAGATATATTCTCTGCTGACAATTTGTGCTTGTAGTGGAGCGTGTGGCTCAGTGGTCGGAGACGCCTTGCAATACACATAGGATCGATCTCAGCGCCCAAGTTCACAAAGCCTCTCATCTCTCGGGAAATCGGTATTAGACCTGTCTCAAGCAAGCTCACTTCATCTAATCTACGTCGGAATGGCCTGGCAAGGTTATAGCGGGATTCCAGGTAACGTCGACTGGAGAGACATTCAACGACAACCGTGTCTAGGATGAGAAATCCCCAACCAGCGGTTGAAACCACACGTATTATATGCTCGAAGACTTTCGTAGATGGTGGGGACGAGAAAGCGAATTGAATGTGAGGTCTGCTGGGATCCACAAGGTGTGATACTTCTTACGTCGAGTCACGTGGTAACAAAAAAATGTTTCCATCGATTTGCGATTTTAAAAGTACACCATGAGGATCAGATCGCTTGGAATTCGGTTCTTAAGAGAAAATTAGAGAAGACAGTTTATATAAGCGCTTATATGACAAAGTTTGTCAGGGAGTGTTTATAAGTTCTCATGATTTCGAACACAGAAAAAGAAATGTGGTATAGTAACGCTGTTGCGGCCGTACCTTTAAAGGAAAAAAATCACTATTTTGAATCTGAATATGATCTTAGCCACTTGCACCCAACAAAACACTTTTGTGCAACTATTATTGATTGGATTAGCTTTTAAAGGGTGTGAGAGCTTTTCTGGAGATTTTTACTTAAATCTATTGCTGAAGATCTTTCTATTTTTATTTCATACGGTCCGTCTTTCACGTCTGCTGTGCAGATCACAGTACTTCTCGCCTTCAACTCGTTTCCTTGCAGCCATCAGCCACGAAATTTTCCAAACTGTCCGAGTGGCTTAGGCTGATGGCTGACGAATTTTATTTCATCTTGGATGTCTTAGAATACTGGTCGAGTCGACTCTTCCTTGTTTTGTTGGACAGCCGAGCATGGGCGTTCGCACTTGGATTGCAGGAGGTGATTTTTTTCTCGGACAAGTCTAGTACCAATTTCTCGATCTCGGGTAACTGGGAGGCTTGGTGGGCTCAGAGCGGCGTCGAACCAACACCATGCTCTTGATGACCGGCATCATCATCAGTGTGCGAGTTGCTGAGCGTCTTAAAAGATGGATTTCACACCTGCGGTAGAAACACTTGAGCTTAGAAAGAGCGTCGCTTTTCTACACGAAAGCGTAAAATAGAACTATGCAGTAGTGGAACAAAGCATCTTGGACATAGTTATTCTCTCCCGAAAAACAGCAGAAGGAAAGGACTTCATGTTAAATGTTAATATAAAAAATTAAAAATTTAAAAAATTAAATTGAAAAAGCATACTGATGTTTACATGAGCTGTGCGAGTTGGCTGGGTGGTTCAGATACAGGATAAGCTGGAATAGAAAATTGACAGCTGCGTGCTAGTGTCATTTGATAATTAACACATTTATAGATGATTTAGATGTATATTTAGGCGTTTACTTTAGATGCCAATCTTTACAAGATGGGTAATCTCTAAAATTTCGGTACTTGCTTTTGCTGTATCTCCACCGTTGTCAAAGCAGGCGGTCTGGTTCGCGTGTGGGCGTTACTGCGACTTAAACATGTCATCCTATCCTCTGAATAATATGCATGGTGCTGGGCAGGTGTGTTTCTTCTTTAGATTCAGAGAAAGTTGTGATAGGGCTTTCCCATGCCTTCACAAGAGTGCACTAAAGTAGATTTTTGAAATCTCACCCAGCATGCAGTACTGTGCCAACTGCAGCATTTCTTTTATTTGATTCGTTTTCTCACATTCATCATCCTGGAATATTTTCGGATTTTGTTCACGGATTCCGTTGATGCTTTAGAATTTCTCGTCCTCGTGTAGTTCGTCGTTGATCCTTTTGGAACAAAATCTATGGTGGAACAAAATCTTCGTTACTACGTTAGCTGAATTTCAAGCACGTAGTGTTTACGCCGGAAATAGGGTTTCCTGTCTTGTAAATGGAATTATTCCAAAAGGGCAGTGATTCTCACAGAGTGAGCTTTTTTCACAATTCGCCGAGTTAACCGACCTAAGATAGCAATATAGGTGTTATACTAGCACGAAAGTCTTTTAATGTAGTAGTAGAAAAAAGATTCTGAAGTGCATATTGGCCATATGGTGCTTGTGGAGCAGTGATTGGAGGCGCTCTGCGACACACACGTGGAATCGATCCCTGCGCCCATGGCCCACCAAGCCTTCCATGCCTCTGAGGTCAGCAAATTGCTACCAGACTTGTCTAGGAGGGTAGCAGCACTGGCTCGATACATCCGTAGGACACGGCAAGTCATTGTAAAGGCCAGATATGCATTAAATCTCCTCCAAACTATGCTCAATGAAGTCGAATGCGTGGCGCATTCCTCAGGGATTGATCAACGCTGAGAGCTTTATCCTTTATTTTTTCTATTAGCCTTGGAATTGTTAACATTGTGAAATGCGTGATTATCTGAACAGCAAAGTTCTTCCTAAACGTAATCTATTTCTAACCTATTGTGAATAGATGCTCTGTAAATGTGAGGAAACATACTCAATAAAAAATGAATTCATTCTAGAAATTTAGAATTTATGATCTTCCAATGACGTCACCACTTATTGGCTTGTCAGCATTGTGGATACAGGTCAGAATCTGCAAAGATGGCTTTCACCTTCATACTCTCCCAAACTTGTAGACTTTTCCTTTTGGCACTGTTGTTTATAAGTTTTCTTCGACATTTTGTTTTGTATTATATGAAAATCAGAGAAAATAATGCGATAAATGGAGTTAGTTTCCTTAGAGCATTTATCCAGTTGTGGACCTACTTAGGTTAAGGAAAGTAGAAAAACTCCCTCTTTCACCAATTTTTTTGTTGCTAAGTTCATTTGAGAGCATGTTCAGCGTTTATTTTGGAGTAAAAAATACCGTCACCATCGGTTTGAAGTTGATATTGAAGCAATTTCAGAAAGTGAAGTAATTTCAAGCTTTGAACATATAGAGCTCTCGGGTATTTTATTCATGAGTTACTTGGAAACGTTGAGTCGGATCTCTTCAATAAAAAGCTCAATCTCAATAAGAGCTAGTGTGTTAACGACTATCCTAGTTTTTTCCTAGAAATTTGTTCTAGAATAGCATGAAGACGTCCTGTGGTAGATGTTATATCCACTCGTTTCCGGAACGCATGTGTCCCGAATCTTCCCGATTGGGCGTTCGGCAAGCGTAACACGTCAGTCTATTCTAACACGTCTGACAACGTCTATTGATCATCAGACCTTCCTTGTTGGTTCGGTATTGAGATGCTGTACGTATGCCTATAGTTTCTCGGCTAATCCTGTTTATTCAGTAGTAGTTGTGATTTTCAGTCGTTTTCGTCACAATCCATTTTCAGTCAGTCTTTACTGTTAGTGTTTACTGCAATTCGTCATTTGTTGGCTGATGTTCTTCATTTCATATAAGTGGTAATTAAGCTGCAGCTATAAAACTCTGTTCTCGAGTTTTCGTTTTGGTTGCTTCACTTTCAAACTTGGCTTATGTAGAAAATTTGTATTTGTGATGGCAATGAACAACCACAGAGTAGAATACTGCTTTGAAAGTCGGTAGAATTCCTAACTCTCTCAAAAATACAAAGTGCAATACATGTATTTATTTTGTAAAATTGCAAGTATTAGTATAGCAATAACCCCCACCATGTAAATATCTGTCTGTAAGATGCTAGCCGTACAAATTTAAAGTCACTCCATGAGAAACTGAGCTGTCATGCTCGGTCAAAACCACTTCCGCACATTAAGGGAAGTCTCTTGTGAAAGAGCTGTAACATGAATATCATTCCCTATTCCGTCTCATTTCAGTGACTTCTCTTTTAAATGTTAACCTTACACCTTAAAAATAACTTGTATAAACGACTTTGTCATTTATTTGAGCTGACAGGAATCGGTACATGCGAATTCGACTCATCTTATCGTTTAGTAGCCTGACATATTCTAAGCCAACACACATCAACAGACGATCATGGAATGATGCAGACCGTGCTTCGAAACATTTTCGACAAAATCTCTAGAAAAAGCAATACTGCGCAAGAGCGATGCTCCAGTCCCTTCCGCTTAGGGCCGCTTACTAACTATCATACATGTGCGCTGACAAATGGTTCATTAGAAAGAAAAGACTGCAGTTTTGCTCTTGCCACTATTCAGTACCAGTGATTCAAAAGATAACATAACACAATGAAACCGCTGAAAACTCGAAATGGCCTACAATTAACGAAAATTGGATAAAGTTGCATTGCCAATTTAGTCGCCTTCAAATCTGCCTCACCATCTGCCGAAGCGATGCCCTCTACCCTCCCCTTGAGGCCAATGGCTCAGTTTACTTTTCGGTTCACACCACCAATGATTCAATTTTAAACATAGTACTCAAGAAGGCGATGCTACTAGAGATTTCTGAAGAACTCCTAAACTCTGGCACTTCTAAACATCCTCTCGTGATTACACTTTTTTCGTCACGTTGAGCCGTTTTAGTGACCGCTTTTTTAGAACATTTACTCCAATTGTGGACCTGCCATAATGAGGCAGCCTTTATTGTTTGTCAACAATTTTATCTGAGAGACTGCTTCTAACTAGCTCATCACTGTCGTAATAGCGAGACAAGTAAAAAGCAATCGGTTTGAGACGTAGTGAGTGAAATTCTACCTCCCGTTCCGTTTAGCATGGGAATCCGTTAAGACAT